CCGTATTCGCGCCACATCATAATCGCAGCGGCAACGAGCACTTTGATCACTTGATTTATAAAACACATATCATACACAGTTTTTGATGTATTAATATTTAGTAAAACACTGATGGGTTTTAACTTCATTCAGGAGATTTTGGGTAACTGCACAACTGACAGACGATGACATGCGCGCGCGTGCGCGTGTAACCATAGTGACAAAACCACCAACTCGGATCCTGCACTCAAGTTTATACTTTCATTTTTTAATAAAAAAATATATTTAAGTATTTAAAAAGTTGCAGAATGGATTATTTTGGAGACTTTGAAATCGGCAGAGATAGACAAGCAATGCAAAACAATATCTTACAAGTTAACTTGCTCCGGTCTCGGCCTTGTGGTCTCGATATGTTAACGGTAGTGTTGTCTTGGTCTCGATATCCTGGACTTGGTAGTTTCTTGGACTCGATTTTGGCGGTCTTCTACATAGAGCTAAAAGTGGAATTTAAAAAAAAAAATGAAATTCCTCAGAATAACAACCGACCGATTCATTGGAGTTTGTACCCGTTACACATTCAAAAACAGCCCCGCATCACAAAGCCCACGCAGAATCTTCACACTGTCAGTTACCATGGTAACACACGTACAACCACGCCACCCGAGCAACCTGCAACATCTCCAGGTTTAATTGAAAGCGCAGTGTTTACATTGCCCTAATTTAAGTCAAATCACGTCGCAGTAGAGTTTAAAAATAATTACTGAAGCACCAGCTGAATGCCTTTAAATCTCCGGATTTTTAAATCCATTTCTAACCTCAAACCTACTTTAACAGAGGAAAAACAATTCCTCAATGCAAGTATATTAAACCTTTCATTAAAGGTGTGCCATGCCTTTTGTCAGAACGCTGTGATAAACTGTATTTTGAAGTAAATTACAGCACATTCTTGAAGGCTGCTGCTCAACAGTTAGTGTGACCTCTGTTAAGTGAAACGGCTCCCATTTCAGATACGCTTTGTTTTATTTGAACAGCTTTTATTGGTTGAGTGGTGTTGCATGTTGCTGAAACTTCTTTTGATTTTTTTAATTTAACAGTGCATGAGCTGGACTGGGACTGTGGTTTACAGTAACGTTGCAGCTAAAAATCTTGGAGTATCATATCCACATTCAAATGTATGATGCCCCAAAACAGATGTATAGCAGTTCACTACTAGATCTTTAAAACAGCCATAGTTTGATTATTATTATATAACAGTTTCAGTCTGGCTGCTGATTAGTCAGCACAAACACAAACTAAAACAAGTAAAATTGACTTTGTCTTTTGCAAGTTTTTGCATGCATTATTTATACGTAAATTTCACAGGGAATTTCAGTTTAAAGGGGTGATAAACTGAGAAATCATATTTTCCTTGAGCTTTTAACATCTAAGAGGTCATCATATTATAAGAATATCCTATAAGTCTCAGAACTGAAAACATCCTTGTTAGTCCAATAAAAGCTTTTATTGACCCCAGCCTCAGCAAACGATTCGTTTTTCAAAGCGGGGAACTATGACGTCAAAGAGGATAAATGCCTAGAAAGATGCTCGTGATGACAAACCTGGTTGTGGAAGAAGACAGTTGCTGCATAAGCTTCCTCTGGATTCCAATAGGATTGCATGGATAAACTTTATTTTTAATGACGTTCCAGCTGATGAGGTAAAACATTGTCCGTCTGTTCGGACTCTGGGTCGAACGTATGGGCGAATCATTCCGGTTGCCATTTTACAACATTGGAAGTTTTCAAAACTATTTCCCCTGTGCACCGACGAGGTGAGTTGAAACTCATTATAATATGCAAAACTGTTACCCACTCACAGCAGTGGGCGTTTACTTCCAAGTCTTCAGTGCTAAACGCCAATAAAAACTGAACGTTTTTCAGGTAGGGTCAAAACTAGGGTAGAAAATAGTCTATTATTCATTTTGATACTTTTGAATGCAAAAACCAAGCAAACGTCATAAATTGACCTCAGACAACAATATAATAAAATTGAAAAAGCCAGTTCATGACCCCTTTAAAGTCAAGGTTTAAGAACAGAACTGTCAGATTTTTATTTTGTACTTGTTAATTACTCTTAACTTGAAATATTTAAGATAACTCAAACATTTAACTTAAAGGTGCATTGCGCAAGTCTCTGAGTTTTGCAGAACTATGCCCCCTCTGGCGACAAGCGAAACTGCAACCAGAGATGTGCATGCTCATGGACCACACGCATGCTTGCACGAGCTGTTCATAACCAAAGCATTAGCCGCACAAATCTTTTGTTACAGTCATAATGTCTTCAGAGGTAATAAAGTTATAAATCATTTAAAATATATGAAAGGAAGGGCATTTGAGTAAATTACACACTTATGTGCGTGTGAGGGGAAAACGGGGGTAGTAGAAAACTTCGGTTTTTGTTTCCATTTATCGCCATGTTGAACTGTTTTATGTGCTTACTGTATCCACTTATGATTATATTATTATAGAAACCCATTAATGAACAATAGAAGTTATTACTTTGTATAGGATCCCGTTTGAGCCCTAGAGCAGATCGGAGATCTCTCCATTTGTTGAAAGCATTCCTGATATTGACTCTCGTCTTATTCCGACGCCTGGCACTATAGACAACAGTTTTATTTTATTTGTCTTACGTGGAGTTTGCGTTGCGGTTTGGAATGAACTACAAGCCGGTCTCTTTGAATCCATCTTCTACTTTTGTGGAAAGTTGACTAAAGTTGTGTCGCTCGAGTTGTCTTCGCTTATACCGAGAATGGTGACGAATGACGTCACATGACGGTGGGAGCATGACGTCACTCCCAGTGTCAAATTTCGTCCCGAATCCCTCTTATTTATTTTACTGTACAGGATTATAGAGGCAATCTCAGTGATCAGAGGACTCATTCAGCCCATCAGGCAATTATTTAAGCATGTATGGGTTATGGAAAACTGGTATTTTTAACAAATGTTGCGCAATGCACCTTTAAAACTAATTTCAAAGTAATCTCAAGTACTCAACTTTAATATTTTTAGTAGTTGAAACTTAACTAGGTAATTTAATAAATACGAACATACTAAATGGTAACACAATGCTTTGAACAATATAGAAATTACTGAAAGAGTATAGAATTTAATATTTCAATATAATCTCTTAAAACTCATCTTTGATCATCAAAATGACATATTAGCAGTTCTTTCCTTGAAAAAATAAAATATCGCCTTAAAATAGTTTAAATGCAACAACACCCTTGCTTCACTTAGTATTCGCGGTTTTATGAATATGCAGATTGATTGTGTTTTTGAGACTGTCTACGCAGTTTTAAAGAGAAAATACTCTGCAATGGTGTTGACTCATGAATTTGCATATGATTTGTCTTAAAGCATGTTAAAAAAAAAACACCACATATAGACATATAAACAATATTAAAAGCTTGATTTTCACCACAGGGGGACTTTAAAATAAAGTGTAACCAGAGACGATACCATTCCCTAAAGTTTGCTTAAATGTGATGCTCAAAAAACTAGCTAATATGTCAAATGTAAGTGTAAATAATTGCAATTAAATGCTTAGTAAAATAATTTGTCCCTAATGTCCTGAAGGGGCAATCATTATTTTCACAGTATAACACTGCATTTCATACCTTGGTTAAATAATGCCTCATAGTTTCGAGATTTCTCCATTTATTATATCGACAGTATGATTTATAATGATTATACTATCACCAGAGATAAAAGCCAGGCAGAGATAAACCAGCTAAGCACGCAAGGTGTGCACATGATGAGTGTTTTTCCCAGGGCGTTTTCGGAGTGCATCTTAACGGCACACTGACATCTTAACAGCCTCCAGTGATGGAAGGAGATGCTGCTGAATTCTCTCTCGCACGCGTCCGTTCCATCTCTCAGAGGCACATAAAAACGTCAGCTGCACATCATATCTGGGCTGTGTGTTACTGCAGTGATAGACAACAAGTGCCATAATGCTCAATAAAGATGTGGCTTGTTGTTGACAGAGGGGAAAAAAAGCCTCATACTGGCCATTAACTACAAATTCTCTCAGTTAATGGACAAATGTACTGAAAATCTCTCGATATACATGCTCACGCACGCATACGCACATCATCGACAGGGCTGAAAAAGGCCTCTAAAATCAGGAAGTATGTGTTTATGGGAACAAGTGTTTTATGACATTAAGTAATGTGCAAGAATTACACTTTGGCTCACACCAAACTTTTGAACGGTTTCCACAAAAAGCAGCACTGTTTTCAACATTGATAATAATAAGAAATGTTCCTTGAGCAGCAAATTAGCATATTAGAGAGATTTCTGAAGGATCATGTGACACTAAGTGTCCAAATATTTCCTGGAGTCATAACATCACCTTTCACATGGCAATTCAACATTGCCACTTTTTTAGTCATCTCTTACCTTTTGTTGTTCTTAACTCCCTCACCTACACCATGTTTGTTATCTTGTAGAAAAAAAGCACAGTTCCCATTGGCAGAGACAGATCCTGTTTGCAAACTCCTTGAATGATGCCTGCAATCGATACAACATAAACTAAATCCTTACACGGTATTTGAAAAGTATCTTCACTCTCATAACACAAATAATGCTTCCTTTCACAGTACAGTACCTACGTGTAGTTACCTCTAAAGTACTGGCTAATATAAGGCATGTACATTAGTTAGGGGTAGGTTCAGGGTTAGTACCTATAGTTATTACCCAGTAATTGTAATTACTATAACAAGTACATAGTATGTACATGGGTAACAGGACTGTAAAAAGAAGCGTTACACACAAATTCTCACTATAGAAAACTACAATACATACCTGTTACCTGTAATTCATGGTAAACGCTTAAGAGAACAGAACCTGTAATATTACAGTACATAAAACTCCTGATTGGCTCATCCAATCAGAGGAAGTGACAGTTCTTTCTGACATCATCTCATTAGTCTCAAAGCCAAGTGTACTTTAGAAAGAAAGGTGCAAGGAACACAAATATACAGTTAAGAAAGACTAGATCCACTTTATCAACTTCATTTAAACCAGACATCATGTCTTGTGATCATTTGACAATAACGACACAGCTAACATCACACAAATTAACCAAAACTTCTCAGTTTCCATACATTTTTTTAATCACTGTAATTATGAGTAAATGTACTGTAACTGGTCTGGGAGCCTGTCGGGCTCCTGGAATTATCATTTAAAGGAAGGCACGTCACATGTCTGAACATTTTGCATGTTTTGATCACACAGAAAAAAAGGTACAAACTGCTGACATCATGTTATCTGGGATTTTCTCAAAATTAAATCCTCCCAATAAAAAAAAAATACTCCAAATAGTCAGTATTGAGCTTGAAAAGAATTTGCGAATATATATTAGCAGAGAACATTGATGCACTCTTCATGAAAGCAGAGACTAATGCAAGCATATTTGGGGCATAGAGAATGTGGACAGATTATAAAGTCTTTCTGTTTTGTGATTTACACACTCATAGCCTGAAAGGATATCTTCTCAAGACAATAAAACCATCCCAAGTGTCATTATAACCTAAAGTGAGCTCTATTTGAATGATGGCACTGAGCTTGTGAGTGTGAGCACTTCTAGGGGGTGATGTTTGTCAGGGCCGTTTTAAACTGTCTCAGAAGCATAGATGCGATCACGGTTTTCTCGGTGTTAACGGTGATCAGAGCATCAGGATCCTTCAGGGCGACTGACACCAGGACCAGAGAACCAGAACTCACCGTCTTACCAGCAAACCTGGAAACACACACACAAAAATGAAGGAAATAAAAGAACATTGGATTTTCATAATTAAAACAGAATAGACACAATTTACTTCAACAAATACCCTTAATGTTATCATGCACAATTCATACATTTATATAAGTAATCAAACTTTCTGTACATCTGAAATTCTGAAATTACTCTTCTGTAGACTTAATCAATGAACATGACAACTGAAACATGAAACAAACTGAATGAGATTTTTATCAAAAAATTAAGAGAAATAAATGGAAGATGTAATGACAAATTATCTTAAAAGAAGGTGATAATGATAATAGCCGAACAACAATTGTAGTAATGCATGACTAGATGAACGTATATATACAGTATACATACACACACACACACACACACACACACGTACTGTACATATGTATATATATATATATATATATATATGTGTGTGTGTGTGTTTGTCTTCTATAGTATATATACATACATGATACATATCATATATATATATATATATATATATATATATATATATATATATATACTGTATATATATGGTAAATAATAAGGTAAATACTGTCGTATACGTCAAATAATATAATACAATCCAATACAATATAATATGATATATACAGTTAAGTAAGATGTTTTCCAAAACGGATATCAGGTATCCAACCGTTAATAGCAATTACTTATTATTAAAGAAAGTAAGTTAATAAATGCATTTCAAGCACATAAGTTTGTACCATACCATATGTGAGCATGGGAGAGGATGTGTGTGTGTGTGTGTGTGTGTGTATGTGTGTGTGTCCGTGTCCATGTGTGGGTGGGTGGGTGGTGAACAGGCATGGCAGTCTATTATTTGGTCTGATTAAGAAGCTATTAGGGGCCAAGGGACACACTCCTGTCAATCACAGACTCGAACCGGGTAGACTCTCACAGACAGCGAGCAAAAAGTGGGGGTGTGCACTAAATAGTGCAGAGGACAAGAAGACTTCAGAACTGATGGAGCAAAGCATAGAAAAAGTGATATACATGCTGCAGTATTAAAGGCCATTCACACCAGTACCAAACGATCCAATTATGTCGGACGATTTTTGTGGGAGATTCATTCAGCTCCGTCGTTATACATAAATATTGCTAATTGAGTAAGTAAGCTTTACTTGGCATCCTTCTGCCAGTAGATATAGTCACTGATATATGCAAATCAGGTATAATGGAAAGAAACGTGGAATAATTCAGTGTGATGTGGATACAGCAGTGTATTTTTGCAACGCTGGAACGCTTTTTGACCAAACATCCAGCGAAAGCCGCTATCGATTTTAAAATGAAATAGAAAATGCTAAAATGGGAATGGATGTGTTGTCACTGTCCTATAAACGGTAGTGTATGCTGTAGTGAGCTATAGTAGTAACAGTGGTGAACTGTACTAATAAACCGTCCCATAGCGCTGTGGGAGAATTCTTGGTGCCCAGTAACCTTGGTAACGTCACAGAGTGGAAACACTAGTGAACGTACTGACAGTGGAGACACGACCCTGTCCGACCTCTACGCCCTTGTACCTCCTTCGTGTCTGTCTATCCTTCTCTCTCTCACTAAGGAGGACCCACGTGCCTGATACACTGCCATCTGCCTCCCATTTACACACCCTATTATACTACAATGGACCGTTTAGCACACACCCACACGCCGGGACCCCTTTTAGCACTGAGAAGCACACATGCCCCCTGTCCCACCATGAGGCCCCTCTTTGACTCCCAAACTAAGTCTCACACACACACAATGGCCACCATTTAGTCATGACAGCATGAGACACAAGGGCCGTCAGAACAAACTGCTAACCAACTGGAGAAGGGATCACATCTGACAATCAGGACACACATATAGACAGACAGACCGAATGAACTAACGACAGATAGAACGTCAGACAGACAGATAGATGGATAGACAGGTCTAGTATTTTGTATCTCTGTGATGTCAGTATTCTGATGACACTTTGATCTCTCAGTCCCTGCGGCACAACTAATGGAGTCAGTTTATAAAAATCTTATTTACACACGAACTTAACACAGCCCAGAGGTACATTGAGTGAGTGATAACGCAAAGCCACTTGATTTACATGGTTTCAGTGGCATTTAAACTTACACAAATATAGACACACACAGAGAGTGCACAGTACAATTACATCTCTGCAGGGTCCTGATACTGGACAGTTATTCTGTTTAACTCTCCCTTGTCTATCTGTCTTTCATTCTCACGTAAAATAAACATTCACACACCCACAACAGCTCTACCCAGTGTGTGTGTGTGTGTGTGTGTGTGTGTGTTGTATACGGGGTGGTTCAGGCACTAAATGGGTCATTGGTATTCTAGTCTATCTCCACTGGGCCTCTGAACTGGATTAATTGAGGCTGTGGGAAGAAAAGCAAAGCAGAAGCCCAGTGCTGGCCAGCCGGGCCGCTATCGATCCACACACACACTTTAACACACACACACTTTAACACTTGCTCCTAATCAGAGATAGAGACTAAATGACTGTCGTCTCTTTATTTAACCTTAAAGACTAGACTGGTAAGATTCCTGTTCACACGGAACAGTTCTCATTCACTTTCACAGATGAACATAACAGTGAAAGAAACATTGCTCAGCCAATTTAGTAAATCATATTTTATATCATTTTAAATCATATTTATAAAGGGTCTGCTTCACAGATTAACAAAGGTGTTGATGTAAATGGGTAAACCACACAAAATTTGTCATGAACCTTTATTTATATTATTTAAAGCCAAAAAAAAAAAAAATTATATCTTACTTATTGGAAAAAAAGTTGTTGTTTTTTATTGTGCAATTATATTAATTACAAGCACATTTAGCCAATCATCCTTCCTATAATGAAAAATAAATAAATACATTGCCATAATCTTTACTGCAAAATAGTGACACATTTACAGTACTTAAATACCATGGTATACATGCTGCATTGTCTGCATTAAAAAAAAAGTAAAATATGTATTTAAATAAATAATAAAATAATAATGTAATAATTTATTGTTTAAAATTTTATATAAAATATTTAATATAGAAATATATAATTATACAATAAAATTTACACATTAAAGTATAAAAAACGATAGCATGTTGGTGCCAGACGGGCCGGTCTGAGTTTTTCACAATCTGCTCAGTTACTGGGAATTTCACACACAACCATTTCTAGGATTTACAAATAATGGTGTGAAAAGGGAAAAACATCCAGTATGCGGCAGTCCTGTGGGTGAAAATGCCTGGTTGATGCTAGAGGTCAGAGGAGAATGGCCCGACTGATTCAAGCAGATAGAAGAGCAACTTTGACTGAAATAACCACTCGTTACAACCGAGGTATTCAGCAAAGCATTTGTGAAGCCACAACACGCACAACTTTGAGGCGGATGGGCTACACCAGCAGAAGACCCCACCGGGTACCACTCATCTCCACTACAAAGAGGCTACAATTTGCAAGAGCTCACCAAAATTGGACAGTTAAAGACTTGAAAAATGTTGCCTGGTCTGATGAGTCTCGATCTCTGTTGAGACATTCAGATGGTAGAGTCAGAATTTGGCGTAAACAGAATGAGAACATGGATCCATCATGCCTTGTTACCACTGTTCAGGCTGGTGGTGGTGGTGTAATGGTGTGGGGGATGTTTTCTTGGCACACTTTAGGCCCCTTAGTGCCATTTGGGCATCGTTTTAATGCCACGACCTACCTGAGTTGTTTCTGACCATGTCCATCCCTTTATGGCCACCATGTACCCATCCTCTGATGGCTACTTCCAGCAGGATAATGCACCATGCCATGAAGCTTAAATCATTTCAAATTGGTTTCTTGAACATGACAATGAGTTCACTGTACTAAAATGGCCCCCACAGTCACCAGATCTCAACCTAATAGAGCATCTTTGGGATTTTGTGGAATGGGAACTTCGTGCCGTGGATCGTTTTGTGCATCCCACAAATCTCCATCAACTGCAAGATGCTATTCCTATCAATATGGGCCAACATTTCTAAAGAATGCTTTCAGCACCTTGTTGAATCAATGCCACATAGAATTAAGACAGTTCTGAAGGCGAAAGGGGGTCAAACACCGTATTAGTACAAAACTATTGAATGTACTGGAACATATTTTAAATATATATATAAATATTTTTTTTTACATTTTTCTAAAAATTTCAGGGGAAAATGTAGTACCCTTAATTATCCTGAACATGTCAATAATTATTATTATTAATTTCTCAAAGGGCCCTTTAAATGGGGTTAATATTCTTTATATCACAAAAAATTATTTTCTTTATTTTTACATGTTTTTTTTTTTTTGAGATTCAAAAGTTATATAAGGTTATATAGCTAGTTCTATAAGATTGGTACTGGCCATCACTGACCCATAACGGTTGACCACTTTCACAACCTCAAATCTCCTATTCACGCTTCTGCAAAGGCCAGAAATCATTTCCTTAAACAAAATACTAGTCATGTTCTTAAAGACTGAAAGCAAATGTTTTGCACCGGGTGCACCATATGGTAAAGCCTTATTCTGGTATCTTGTTCCTCCATGTCCTCAAGTCTGCAGAGAGGGTTTTAGTCATCAATTGCCAAATGTCCGTGCCAAGTGTGTTTGTTTGTGAGAGTGTCTGTCTGTTTTAAGAGTCCTCTGTACTAATAGAGGTTAATGTGAGTGACCAGATGACCAGCTGTCCCTCTCCAGAATGAAGGACAAGCTTCTCTCCTCTTCTCTGAAACAAATTCCACTCACACAGCTGCTAACTAACACACAGAGGATAGAAGTACACATACACTAAAGAGAATGCAAGAAATATGACGTAAACGGACATGAAACACTCTGGTCCTGCTGTAGGAGAGCAGAGGACCAGGAGACAGACATCACAAGACTAAAGCTAATTGTGAAGACTTGCGGAAGACAGAAGCGAAGAACGTTTGATTCAAATCAATGGAACGAAAAGTGTACTGTGAACGCCTCTTATCACTAAACACACACAGCAAAAAAAAAAAAAAAAAATCACCTTATCTATAATAAGCCCACTGATATGGCTGCTTGTTATCGCTTTGGTTTGGCTCGCTAAAAAACAAAAGTGAGAATAGCAGCGATTCATTCCGTCTCTGTTTAGTAGCAGAGAGGACAGCATGTTTTCTTTCGGTAATCTAGAGAAGGACAGGAACAGAGTTCAGTTTTTCAAGCTCATATAGAAGCTGCTCTCCAAGATTCCCCTGCATTCTCCCACTGCAGCTTTAGACAGAAGCAGTGCTGCCCCCTGCTGCCAAACTGAAGAACTGCAACCCACAAACACCCCCAATCCACAGAACAACTGGGTCAATTAGCTCTAGCACACCAATAGGGCACCATTAACCACAGAAAGTGCAGAACTTTGTGCATACATGTTAATAATGACATCTACAAGAAAAGTATACTATTAAAAAGGTGCCAGTAGGAAAAAGAGACCATATATTTCTCATCACTTGGTAAAAGTATATAAACAAGTATGTAATTAACATCTAAACTGCAGTACAACGTTAAAAATCGAAAAGAAAAAAAAAATGGAGCCAGTTAAACTTGAAATGTTCTTAATAAAAATTTACATAGAACATCTCTTTCACATGTTTGTTAGGATTTCTAAAGGTTTGTAGAAGGATAAAGGAGTTTTCTTTCAGTAAGTCTGTTAAGAAACAGCCGTGTGATTGATGACACGCTCTCATTTGCCCGATTGCGTATTCTAAATGAAATATAGGCCTTTTCCACAGACCTGCAGGCATTGATTTCCACTCAGCCTGTGTGCTGTGTGTCCTTGTGAGGAAGATTTTAATGCTTCTCAAGGTGCTTTCATATTTGCTCATATTTTATAATTAAATTACCCTACATCAGACCGACCCAAAGTACAGACCAAACGTCACTTTGTTTGCGTGCATATAAGAGACAGAGACAAATAAGTTTGTCCGTGTGTCAGCAAGATGGCTGCATGTGTGTGTGTGTGTGTGTGCATACATGAAAGTTTTGGCTGCTACAGAGTCCTTTACAAAGTCAGAAAGACGTCCTATGGTAATTACTCTGAAAACTGTGAATCTCTGTAAACATTCGCGAAACACATGCATCTCTATGCCTAACTATAACCCTTAAAAACTTTGCAAACTGCATTTTAAGAGTAAAAAAGATAACTGACTGATGTGTAACTGACACATAAACCACTTTTCCTTTTTATGACATTCCCAAAAGTAGGTTTTGTAAGTTTTATGCAACTTCTACAGACATTTTTTCTGCAAAAAATGTCCTGAAAGTATAGCTAGATTAGACATAAACGCACAAATTGAAGTCCTGGAGAGCAGAGAAATCTATTAAGCTCGTATAAAAATACTGTTTAAAAAAATAACTATGACAGTAAACCTAAAGATGGAAATGAATATGAGGCATTGTTTCTAAGAAAGAGGACATTATCTTTACCTGTGTATGTTCTCTTGATTGGATGGGATCACACCTAGGTTGGCGGCAGACACCACATTTCTGTTTACTGATTGGCTGGAGATGTTCTCTGGCGTTGTTGTAATTGTTGCCGATGACTCGTTCATGCCCACCAGTTTACCTGTGCACACAAATAATCATTAGTTTTAGACTTTGAGTAATCTAGGCTCTACAGATATTCAGGTAACAGTTGAAAAAGTCAGAAATTGGTATACTTTTTATTTTTATTTTGTTCTGTAAATTGTTCTGTGAGCCCAAGTTAGACTCTAAACTGCAAGAGCCATATGTATTTGTTGATTATAACAGGAAGTGCTTGTTTATGAAGTTAAGAGATGAAAAATTAAGCCTTGAATGGAATAGTTTACAAAAAAAAAGAAAAAAAAAGAAAGTAAATTCTCAAGTTTACTCCAAACCTGTATGACCTTCTATCATGAAAAACAGCAGTTGTGATTTTCCACACACACTTAAAAGTTTAGGGTCAGAAGTATTTTTTATGTTAACGATAGACCATTTCACAAGATGTAAACAACACTGGTCCAGAAGCACTTCCTGTTTCAGTTTTTTAACACTACATAAAAACTGGGATAAAATACAACCAACAGAACATATAAAACTGAATCAAAAAGTTAAACAAATATCTTTAAGATGTTTTCTTTACATGTGAAATAAAGAAAACAGTTACAAACTGAAACAGGAAGTGTTTCTGGACCAGTGTTGTTTACATCTTGCAAAATGGTCTATAAAAGTCCCTTTTGCTCACCAATCAAAACTATAGTTTTTTATATATACATTTATTTACAGCTATTGCTAGTTCATTTCAGTTCAGTTTATTTATACATCGCTATTATTGACCAAAGTGCTGTACAATAATACAATTCTTCCAAATAAAAGTACTCCAGTCTTCAATGTCACATGATCCTTCAGAAATCATGCTAATATGCTGATTTGCTGCTTTTATTTTTGTACAGTTCTGTTACTTATTTTTGTGATCATGTTTTTTTCAGGATTCTTTGACGAAGAGAAAGTTCAAAAGAAGAGCATTAATTTGAAATAGAAATATTTTATAACATTATGTGTTTACGGTCACTTTTTGATCAATTTAATGCATCCTTGATGAACAAACGTATTAAAATCACATTAATTCCATAATGACTATGCCTTTTAAAATATGAAAACCTAAATCAAGGGAACACTTCCAGAAAAATCTTCAGCATAAAGCTTTTAGGAAACTCACACTTGGGATTTATAGAAAGAAACATCTAGTATGCATACATGTGCATTATTTCATATTTAACATAACTAGCACAGAATGAAAGGTGCGGGGTTAAAATAATCCAGGCCTTCGGTAAGAGCATGCGATATTTGTGGGCCGCGTTGGACCACTAGACTTGATTAAGACTAACACGAGCGGAGAAACACGGCGACCCTGCAGGACATTAGCCGGAGATGGCGTGAATAAGCCTCGTCGAGCGGTAACAAGCACATAAAAGCAGCACGCCGTTGCTTCCCCGAGGAAACGTGTGCGGACAATACAGCTTAATGCAACCAAACTGGACTAAATGAAAATGTTGTGTTTCACTTAAAAAAAACACAGAAAGGCAGGGTGCTTTTCTTTCTGAAAGGCACAAACTACGAGCCACTTCAGGGTGGCTTTCAAACCGTGTGAATGTGAGAGAGCGCACAGTGATACGTGCAAACACACACACACACATACGTGCACTCGCTCGTACAGGGGGCAAGGTTTTTGAGAGTGCTCATTTAAAGTCTTAAATCTGTCCATTAGGCTCTATTGTAGAGAAAATGTGGAGTAAATGAATATAGCGCGGCTTATGCTAAAAGCCTTTGCCACAGCAACCAATTAAGAATAAATGATTGGCTATAAAAAGCATCTTACTTCCTGTTCCTCGTCTGTAAATAGTGAGGCGGGAAGCACTCTCTTCTCTCATTAAAATGTGCGCGCACGCGTGTCGTCCTGAGTGAAGGTATAGGCGGCTCTCTAAAAAGACAAGGCAGGAATCCATTGAGCGTAAATGAAAAATCAAACCCGCCGCTTCTTTCGGAGAGCGTCTGCTTCATTATGTCGGCCTAATGTTGGGCCGTAAAGCGGAGAGAGGTATTCGCACGGGCCAGGTTTGTGTGTGTGTGTGTGTTCCCGAAAGGCATCCGAACAAACCAGATGCATGCTAAACTAAGCTTTTCTACTCTTGGCTTCCATTTATTTGGTTTTCCCATGCCTGTGTTTGGTTTTATTAGCTGGAACGGTTTGTTGCCCTGAGGATGGAGGAAGAAATTTGATCAAGAGAGGTTTAAAGTTAATTTCTGCACCACTACAATAACTAAAAAATCTAAAAGTAATGACTGTTTTCAAACAGGTCTCCCAGTAGCTAGTCTATCATTGGTCAGACAAACAAAACATGATCTGCAACATGACATCATGACTTTTGCGTAAACATACGCGTCACTTTCGAATCAAGTGGCGTGTTCTGTATACGCATTTTGAGATATCCGCGTGTATGCATGTATGAGTGCATGTACACGCCGTTAAATGTCCGAGCGAAACGAAACAAAATGTAGATCTACATCTGGGGAGCGATATTTTTTTTCCTAGGATGGTAGGGGAAGACTCATAAATGGTATTAACACCAGTGACCCGGTTAAGGGGCGGGGTTGGGGTAGGTAATATATTTATATACAGTAATGTAACGTTAAGTCAACGGCGTTCATAAACATGCTGAAAAGCGATAATGCGCATTGAAAGCATGCCAAAAATACATACGCCATTTCATGAGATCAGTCTGTGATTGGCTGAGACATTTACTCGCATCCTAAAATGCCATACGTCCCTACTATATAGTAAGAGAAAAACACTGAATATAAAAAGAATTTATAAAAGAGTAAGGAAAAGATATGCTTCTGATGGACACTTTACTATGCTTAGAGGAGTTGTGAATGGCAGCAACAAAACTAACAATGACAACGTGATGGATGCAGTACGATTCATACAATACACATTCATGCTATATAGAACGGTTAACAAAATGATTAATTTTTCAAAAGAAGTATACTAGAGTATGCGATTCTGGAGGCAGCCATTGTAAGCAGGCAGGAAAAAGCATTTTAAAATTGAAAAATTGGCTCAGAAACAAGAACAGATTAAAAAAAAATTCACATCAAGTAGTTAACCGCAAAATAGTTTCTATAATAGTTCCTGCGGAGAACAGGTCACGTGTCAGGCCTAGATCTCCGTGGACAACTTGTTCTGGCCTTCAGCGGAGGTGCTTGCGGTGTACGTGTTAAGTATATGTGTGTCAGATTTGCCTGTCTGAGCTTTCTGCATCAGCGGTTATATTCAGAGGGACAGTTCGAAGAGCGGGGACAGTATTACATGAGAGAATGTGTGTGTGTGTGTTTAAATAACCAGATTTATATGTAAAGAGCTGCTTTATTTGAGTTTTTCAGCGGTGCACGCCTGTCACCAGCACTCAGCCAGTTCATCAACTAAACACTGCACACATTCAAAGTGGTGTGTGAGGATCTCTGGCTTTGCCAACATGTTTGAGCCAAGCAGCTCTGGAGTGCATATGTGTGTGAATATGGGAACGGATCACATGCATTTGCGTTTTTTTTAAGACATACTGATTAGGCTGGGCGATATATATATTTTTTATGATATATTTAAAATTATTTAATTAAAGTAACATGACTTTTCCTTTTTTTTTTTGCCCATTAAGTTTTCCATGTTAAGAAACAATGTTTTAATAAAGTCTGTTATCATCATTTGTAAGTGTAAGGTCAATGCAACGGAATCCATGAATCAAATGATCGGTTAAGTGAATTGGTTCAAAACTCTGATTCAAATACATCTAGATTTTGGTTTTGAAATTTTAATTCAAGTTGGGTATTATGGCTGTTTGGTTGAAATATTATGATTCTACATGCTATGAAAATAGAAATATCACCCTAAGCATAGGCTTAAAATGGCGTTTATATATTGAATATCAGCCAGCCCTCAGTAGTATGTTCTTGAGGTGTTTGAGAGTGGTCTGTAGAAGATTTTAAGAGACAGTGCTGTATTTTTGAGGTGTTTAAGTGTTATTTGAAGGTTTGTACCGCAGCAGTGTTGTGTTTTGTAAGTGCTAAGAGGTGTTTGTATTACCCTGCTCTTTGGTGAAGTCTGCTTCACTCATTGTGATGGGCAGTAGCAGCTCTCCTACTGCAGGCTGGATGGACACGCTGAATTCATCTTCTTTAGTACTGAAGGAGGAGAGAACAGAACCATCAGGTCACTACACAACTGTCCATCTTTTCCCATGTTTCCCTTCTATACACACATTACTGTTCAAAAGTGTGTGCTTAGTAAAAGAGTTTTGGAAATGAATATTCCGCAAGGATGCATCAAATTGATCAAAAGTGACAGTATTATCCACTTTTACAGTGTTACAAAGAAATTATATTTCAAATAAATGCTGACTATTGAAAAGAAAATCCTGAAACAAAATTGCAGGATTGTTTTCCAGAGAAGAGTTATTTTAAACTGTAATATACATTTAGTGCTGTCAGTCGATTTAAAAATTAAATAATTAATTGAACATTTTTCTCATTTTCACATTTAATCGCACCTAACATTGAAGTTTAGTACATTTTTATGTTGTAATAATTTCACATTTAATTGCCAAATTAACATACAGTTATTTTAAATATTTGATTTAACAGTTAGAATATACAGAAATTCAATTAAGTTATCAAACAATTCCCAATCTTCACATAAAAATAGATAAATCTATTAAAACTTATTAAAGCCTTTGTTCTTTGGTTATCCTCAATGACAGACATTACAGCAGCAGGTTTATTTGGCTGCTGTCACTTTAAGATTTTTATTTTTATTTAAACTTTGTTTAACCAGGTTAAGATCTGACGCACGAGACACATCCGATGTCCTCACAACACTGAAGTTCTTTTTTTAAGACTTATCACGCTTACATGGTTTAATCGCACAAATGAAATTGAATGAACGATAGCGTGATCATTTAATGTAGCACTATAGCTAAAGGATGAAGGAAAAAATGGATGCTGCGTTAATTGTGTTAAATATTTTGAATGGATTAAATTAAACAAATGGATTGCATTTGTTTACACATTCATTTTATTTTATTTTTTATCAAATAAATGCAGGCTTGGTGAGCACTAAAAATTTCTTTTAAAAACATACATATATGGTATTTGGTACAATATAGAAGAAATTCACCACCTACAATTATATTTATGGTATTTCTGGCAAATTGATGTCGTCTTAAGCTCAGTAACGAGAAAATAATTTCCAGAAATATGTACAAATGAAGTAAATATGGTTCATTTTGATTACATCTTAAAGCAGTAAAACATTTTAGGTAAGTTATAATAGTTGTTTACAGTTTTTAAAGTAACATTTTACATCCATGAGGAAAGACTTAAACCCAATCTATTTTGTTTTCGGCCCCCCCTTTCATCCCAAAAGAGTAAAAGAATAAACTTATTGATTGTCAGGTTTGCCAATTTACTTTGTAAGTAGTCAATTAGCTGAGAAACAGAACTGTTATTACCATCCCACTGGATCAATCATCACTGATCCACAGATGGAGAGAGCCGAAAGACGGATAGAAAGACGGAGTGGGAGAGAAGAATGAAAGGCATTTCTATTTGGATATATTCGTACTGATTAGCATCCCACACTGTCTGTGGCCTATTGTAGGAAAGAAGACTGTCAGGTACTCCGATAAAGACTGAAATCTGACATTAAAGTCTCATCATGAAGAGCAGAAGGCTGGGAAATAGGAAGCCAATAAAGAGTGAATCCAGGAGTGGGAGAACAGGGTCACTACGGAGATCAGGCTAGAAAAAGATTTAGAGTCCAAATAAGCGGGCTAGGGATCAACGTGCAAAGTAAATCCAGGTATTTCTTTATAATACGGCATAATCTCTTGACGTATCGGTGAGAGAGAGCGCCCGAATCCCTCCTTAAACCGACTCCATGAGCTCGGCTTTTGTCTAGGGCCACAGACATGCGTGCGGGCCTGACCTGTGCCCACTCGTCTCCATGTCATTGAACTCACATTGGCTCCATTAGCACACATAATCTACCGGTCTCTTGCTCGCTCTCTCTCTCCGGCTCGGCTGTTTATGGTGATGTTATTCACGCCTGGCTATTTCACTGTATCGATCACAAAAGCCTCCGGCGTAATCGAAAAAAGAAAAAACAATTACAAGCTTTGTGGGGAAGTGTAATCACTCCAAATTAGATTATTAAAAAAATGTAATGCATATTATTACCATTCACACAATTCGGTAATAATTTATTTTTTAAAAACGTATTGAAAAGGGGAACAATTAATTTTGTCTTATTTTGCACTGTGTAAGGATAATGAACAGCAGTAATTTAATCTGTATAATGACATGCTAGCGCCATCATATTGTGCACGCATTGTGAGTGTCTATTAATGTTTTTGCTGAATGCTGTTTTTTGGAGGAAAGCAAACACCATCATGCCTCATTCTCAGGCGTGTCAGGGCGACCTGATCTAAGGGTTTTACTTCCACTAAAGCATATTGACTCAAGGTAGAGATATAAACTGTAAGAAATGTAATGAATCTGGTTCCTCTTAACGATATATATGATTTTTTGTATAGAGTATGAGGCATATATGCAGTGAACTCTTACCATAGCTGGAAGTTTGCAGCCTGTGTGGAGTCATTGAAGTCCACACCCATGGACACTGTTACTGACGCCTGCGGCTCCAAACGCTCTGAAGAGGGAGAGAAACATCTGTCAGCATGAGGTTCGAAGAATCAAAAGCATAAGATCAATCGAATTCTACAGAGAAAGATAAAAAAAAAAATCAAAGCAATGTTTACATGTCAAGTAAGTAAGTAAGGAAGGAAGGATGGTAGGAAGGAAGGAAGGACTGTAGAAAGGTAGGAAGGAAGGTAGGAAGAAAGGAAGGAAGGAAAGAAGGAAGGAAGGACTGTTGAAAGGTAGGAAGGAAGGAAGAAAGGAAAGAGGGAAGGAAGGAAGGAAGGAGGGAGGGAGGGAAGGAAGGATGGTAGAAAGGTAGGAAGGAAGGAAGAAAGGAAGGAAAGAGGGAAGGAAGGAAGGAGGGAGGGAAGGAAGGATGGTAGAAAGGTAGGAAGGAAGGAAGAAAGGAAGGAAGGAAAGAGGGAAGGAAGGAAGGATGGTAGAAAGGTAGGAAGGAAGGAAGGAAGGAGGGAAGGATGGATGGAAAGAAACAAAGAAGGAAGGATAGTAGGAAGGAAGGAAGGAAGGAAGGAAGGATGGAAAGAAAGAAAGAAGGAAGGAAGGAAGGAAGGAAGGAAGGATCTGCTCCTCTTCCCAGAATAGAGTTGAATTTGTGCAACAGTATAGAAAGAATCTTCATCTCTTCTCCTCCATTCACAGCCATTAAATTCATCTTTGTGATGCTTTACCAACACAAGCATGATTCAATTTATGTTATAAAACCCGAACCTGTCCTATGAATGACTAAGAACTGTTTTGTGAAAGAAAAAGAAAGAGTGAGAACATCGGGAATGTGAGTGTGTTTGGTTCTGATGATAGGAGTCTGCTAATCGATACACAGGCTGAAATCATTTCAGCTGGATTAATACAGGCTGAAGGAGGGAGAAGGGAACATGTGAATGTGTGTGTGCTGAAGAAATCTGTTAACATTTACCAAACACATAAGATACAACTGGAAGGCTTTCCTGAATTCTATCAAATTTAGATGGTTTGTGATTAGCTGAACTGATTTAAAGTTTACATGACAATCTCAGGGGGGAAAAAGATTTAACTAAGGGGTGAAAAGAAGACAAAATCCTCCACAAGGGAAAGAGAAGGGGAACAGCCAAATGTAAAAACAACTAATATTCAAATAAATATTAATAATAATAATAATATCTGTAATTAAAATGTATAACTATCATCAACTATAATTAAAAAAATAAATACACAATGTTTAAAATGTAGTATGTAGGCAATTAAATGTGTATAATTTAAAGTAAAAATTATACACATAGTAAAATGTAAAAAAGTAAAAAAAAAATGTTTTTAAATAAAAAAATGTCAATATTAATAATCAATGTACGCAACAATAAGAATACGCTACGTAAAAACAACTTCGGTGGAAGGATGGATGGATGATTGGAGGGATAGAGGGATGGATGGATGATTGGGGGATAGAGGGATGCATGGATGATTGGGGGATAGAGGGATGGGTGGATGATTGGAGGGATAGAAGGAGGGATGGATGATTGAAGGGATAGAAGAAGGGATGGATGATTGAAGGGATAGAGCGATGGGAGGATGATTGGAGGGATAGAGGGATGGGTGGATGATTGGAGGGATAAAGGGATGGATGGATGGATGATTGGAGGGATAGAGGGATGGATGATTGGAGGGATAGAGGGATGGATGGATGGGTGATTTAAGGGATAGAAGGAGGGATGGATGATTGAAGGGATAGAGCGATGGGAGGATGATTGGAGGGATAGAGGGATGGGTGGATGATTGGAGGGATAGAGGGATAGAGGGATGGATGGATGGATGGATGGGTGATTGGAGGGATAGAGGGATGGATGGATGATTGGAGGGATAGATGGATGACTGGAGGGATAGAGGGATGGATGGATGGATGGATGGATGGATGGTTTGAGGGATAGAGGGATGGATGGATGACTGGAGGGATAGATGGGTGGATGATTGGAGGGATAGAGGGAAGAATGGATGGATGATTGGAGGGATAGAGGGATGGATGCATGACTGGAGGGATAGAGGGGTGGATGATGATTGGAGGGATAGGGGGATAGATGGATGATTGGAGGGACAGAGGGATGGATGGATGGGTGATTGGAGGGATAGAGGGATGGATGGATGGTTTGAGGGATAGAGGGATAGATGGATGACTGGAGGGATAGATGGGTGGATGATTGGAGGGATAGAGGGATAGATGGATGATTGGAGGGATAGATGGAAGAATGGATGGATGATTGGAGGGATAGAGGGATGGATGGATGGATGATTAGAGGGAAAGAGGGATGTATGGATGATTGGGGGATAGAGGGATGCATGGATGATTGGGGGATAGAGGGATGGGTGGATGATTGGAGGGATAGAAGGAGGGATGGATGATTGAAGAGATAGAAGGAGGGATGGATGATTGAAGGGATAGAGCGATGGGAGGATGATTGGAGGGATAGAGGGATGGGTGGATGATTGGAGGGATAAAGGGATGGATGGATGGATGATTGGAGGGATAGAGGGATGGATGGATGGGTGATTTGAGGGATAGAAGGAGGGATGGATGATTGAAGGGATAGAGCGATGGGAGGATGATTGGAGGGATAGAGGGATGGGTGGATGATTGGAGGGATAGAGGGATAGAGGGATAGAGGGATGGATGGATGGGTGATTGGAGGGATAGAGGGATGGATGGATGATTGGAGGGATAGATGGATGACTGGAGGGATAGAGGGATGGATGGATGGATGGATGGTTTGAGGGATAGAGGGATGGATGGATGACTGGAGGGATAGATGGGTGGATGATTGGAGGGATAGAGGGAAGAATGGATGGATGATTGGAGGGATAGAGGGATGGATGCATGACTGGAGGGATAGAGGGGTGGATGATGATTGGAGGGATGGGGGATAGATGGATGATTGGAGGGACAGAGGGATGGATGGATGGGTGATTGGAGGGATAGAGGGATGGATGGATGGTTTGAGGGATAGAGGGATAGATGGATGACTGGAGGGATAGATGGGTGGATGATTGGAGGGATAGAGGGATAGATGGATGATTGGAGGGATAGATGGAAGAATGGATGGATGATTGGAGGGATAGAGGGATGGATGGATGGATGATTAGAGGGAAAGAGGGATGTATGGATGATTGGGGGATAGAGGGATGCATGGATGATTGGGGGATAGAGGGATGGGTGGATGATTGGAGGGATAGAAGGAGGGATGGATGATTGAAGAGATAGAAGGAGGGATGGATGATTGAAGGGATAGAGCGATGGGAGGATGATTGGAGGGATAGAGGGATGGGTGGATGATTGGAGGGATAAAGGGATGGATGGATGGATGGATGGATGATTGGAGGGATAGAGGGATGGATGGATGGGTGATTTGAGGGATAGAAGGAGGGATGGATGATTGAAGGATAGAGCGATGGGAGGATGATTGGAGGGATAGAGGGATAGAGGGATGGATGGATGGATGGGTGATTGGAGGGATAGAGGGATGGATGGATGATTGGAGGGATAGATGGATGACTGGAGGGATAGAGGGATGGATGGATGGATGGATGGTTTGAGGGATAGAGGGATGGATGGATGACTGGAGGGATAGATGGGTGGATGATTGGAGGGATAGAGGGAAGAATGGATGGATGATTGGAGGGATAGAGGGATGGATGCATGACTGGAGGGATAGAGGGGTGGATGATGATTGGAGGGATGGGGGATAGATGGATGATTGGAGGGACAGAGGGATGGATGGATGGGTGATTGGAGGGATAGAGGGATGGATGGATGGTTTGAGGGATAGAGGGATAGATGGATGACTGGAGGGATAGATGGGTGGATGATTGGAGGGATAGAGGGATAGATGGATGATTGGAGGGATAGAGGGAAGAATGGATGGATGATTGGAGGGATAGAGGGATGGATGGATGGATGATTGGAGGGAAAGAGGGATGTATGGATGATTGAAGGGATGGACGGATGATTAAAGGGATAGAGGGATGGATGTATGATTGAAGTGATGGATGAATGGTTCAAGGGAAAGAGGGATGGATGGATGGATAATTGGAGGGATGGATGGATGATTAAAGGGATACCTGTAGGATAAAGGGATGGATGGATGGATGATTGGAGGGAGGAAAAGTAGTAGTAGTTGCTGAATAGGCATTGATATGCAAATGTGGCTGTTTATGTTTTAATGTGCTGAATTTCATAATGATTTCTACACGGCGTGTTAAGCTCACCGATAGCGCTGAAGCGATGGATGTTTTGTCCGCTGGAACTCTTCTCAGAGATGTGGATGTTCTCGAGGGCTTGCTCACTGTTGTTGCTCAGGGTCAGCTGCAGGGACACCATGCTGTTGCCATAGATACAGGGCTGGCGGGTGAAGCGGTACTGGGCGGACAGACCTTTACCAGTCATCCTGTGGAGCAGCTCATGGGAGGTTTCCGGCACAAACACGGGAGAACTCGCCTGCGTACATGCCCAGGATATTAGAAATGGAAAGAACAATATGTATCAAAAAGAAATTTGGTCATTATGATCAGCAGCACTGACTTTACTGACTATAATTTGTGGTACTAAATAAGTAATAATAAAGACTGTTGTGGTCTTAAACAGGTCGATCTAATTATTTAAAGGTGACGTAATTCTGACCAATGGAAGATGAAAAAAGTGTTTGTGAAAACCTGTATGAAAGTCATTATTTTTGCAATTGATCAAAAACCTTAAGCATGCTTATAATGTCAATGTTCACATTTAAAACATCTTTGTACACAGAGCGACAGGAAAAAAGAGGAGGTACAGTATATACATTCATTCTCTTGCACACATACAAATTGAGAGCCCATTTCTTATTAAATACCGGTAACCTTATTAAGCCACGTTTTAACTTTTGATCTTAATGTAAAATCTCTGAGACACAGATAAAGATGAAAGAGAAGCATTTGGCTATTTTCATTAGGAACACATTAGGAGAAACCTTAGTAAAAACGTCAAAAGAGCGTTAGAATAACACTTGGTTAATTAAAAAAAAAAAACACTCCAAATTCAGTTATCACCATAATGTTTTTATAATATTTAATTAGAATCAGTTACTGTTATAAAAAAAAATGTAAAACAATAAAACTGTTGGTTTTTTTTAAATAGTTTTAAAACCACTTTAAATATCTTCTGCTCACCAAGGCTCCATTTATTTGATTAAGAATACAATATTATTATAAAAAACATTAAAATTTAAAATAATAACTTTCTATTTGAATATATTTTAAATTAAATGTATTCCTGTGATGCAAAGCTGAATTTTCATTTCATTTATTTATATAGCACATTTAATTGAACATCTGTTCCCAAAAGTGCTTCACAATCACACAAAAAACACAACACCAAAAATAGGAGGAGTACAGAGAAGAGAAAAAACGCACAGAACATAGACAAGGTAATGATCAAATATCCATCATGAAGATGCCCAGGAAGTCTTCAACATATTTGCTTTTAACATGGTCTTAAATTTCAGTAATGACTTTACTGACCTTACAGAAAGAGGGAGATCATACCACAGCATCATTACTTCAGTGTCACATGATCCTTCAGAAATCACTCTAATATGCTGATTTGCTGATCAAGAAACATAATATTTTTGTGGAGACCATTTCTTTTTAGGATTCTTTGATAAATAAACTAGATCAAAAGTATTTATTAGAATTCAAATTATTTGTAACATTTAAAATGTTTTTACTGTTATTTATTATCAAACTAATGTATCTTTGCTGAATAAAAGTATTAATTTCTCTATAACAATCTTACAGACATCACATATAACCAGGGTTTGACATGAACTTTTTTGGTTTTCCAAAATTACTAGCCACGCAGCACTTAGGCACATTTTTGTTGTTGGAAAATTACATTTTATATTACTAAACTTGACAATGGGGCTAAAATGTACTAATATTTTATTATTAGATCTGAAGGTTTTAAAGCTCCTTTTTTGAAAACATGTTGTCTATTAATAAATGATAAACACATAAAATAGCTTCTTATTGCATATAGGCCTACTAAAATAAAAGCGCTGTATCGTTTTTTTTTTTTTTTGTTTGTTTTTTTACAGCAGTAAATACAATAATACAGAGTAGAACAATTAATCTGCATTAGAAACAACGAGCAAAGAATAAATGATTTTTTTCTAAGAAAAAGAATCCACAATTAAGGCAAGAGCATTACAACTTTATATGACAGTTTTGAGGACTTTGGATTGATTGTTTGTTTTGCAATCAGCATTTCCTCAGAGCTCTGACTTAATAATGATCATCATGAAGCTCTGGTAGCTCTGAATAACTGGAGATATGTACACCTGAAACAAGTATAGGCCTACAGAGTTCTTTATTTTCCAGATTATTCCCACAAACACATCTGCTTTCTTTCATGGCGTGGCTAATTTTATTAAAACACAGAATTAACTCTGGAAAGATAGTTGTGATATGACGTGACATAAGGGCAGCCCTGACTGAACGCTGTGTTGATGTGTGTGTGTGTGCACCAGTCGCGTGTGATAATTTGACAAAAGTCTGGATGTCATTGGAGAGTGTGAGATGTGCCGGTGGTCTGGATTCTCCTGCTATTAAATCAGATCGCTATATCATCACATTAAGCTGATAATTAAGGGCAGCCTAAAACAGCCCTCAATCCGACGCCCAGTCCGCGAGTTTAATCTCCGTGCATCTAATGTCGTTCAAGAGGATTCACAAATGGACCAATGAGCAAACACACATGTACACATGTGAGTTGTAGTTTCGTAGTAATAAATTGCAATTTGTTTGTTATGTCAGATGTCTTTTAGATGACAAGACTAAATTTTTCAACACGCCAAAGTGGCTAGTGGGCGTGACTGTGTTACCCGCCACAGGCGAAATCCACTGGCATTTGGCGGATTGGCGGGTGTTAATGTCAAGCCTTGCATATAACCATTATATCCACTCTCGGCAATAACATAAAAATAATCATCCCCAATTGTTCCAGCAAAAAAGTCTCTATTAGTGCATCCCTTATCACGAACATTCACACATTATTACAATAGTTTGATTTAAAAAGAAAAATCTGTAATAGCCCAAAGAATAGAAAGGCCGATCGTCATGCCTGAATTGCGTCCTGTGACACCGGCTGCCATCGATATGACGAGTGTGGAAAGACCACTGACGTCTCAATGCATTACTCCTGACTCTCTGGATTCTCTCTACCTCGTGTGACAGCAGAACAGATCGGCGGCCGATGGCAGTTTTCTGGCTCTACACAGCACTCCTGAACACCTGGACAGGGATGACATTTCTGCCTGCAATTTATTTATTGGCTGCGGCTCGGTCTTCAACACCAGCAATCCCTCTGAGCTATGGATTCCATCTGCAACCCAATACTGGAGTTCTCTCGTAGAGCGATGACGGATGTTATAAAAGCTAAAAATAGTGCAATGGAAATAAACTAAAAATGTGTAATGAAAAATTGCATCCTTTCAGTTTCTGATTCCTGAAGTGCCTCAAGGCTCTGTTTGGGGACCGGTAATGTTTTCACCACTTTAAACATTTTAACATTAAGACACCAACAACAGGACCAAATAAAATAAAATATATATATTTGTTATAATTTTGAAGAGAAAGAAATCTACAAAATTCTGGAAAGATGATTTAAATATGACAAAATGTGTTAAATTGAGCTTAAAAAAATACTTTTTACGCATATTAACAGCTAAAAATGTTATATTGTAGTTGGATAAAATACATAAAATATTAGTATTAAAAACAGATAAATACTTGTTGATAAACATAACATGAATAACTTGTTTTATATAAAATTGATACACTGTAAAAAAAATATATTTTCATGATTTGTAATCACAACATTTTTTCTTTTGTCAAATCAACTTAGATAATTTATGTAGTTCAGATAACATAATATTTTGAGTTTCTGATGATTAAATCAATCTGCTTCATTGTATTAACTCAATATTTCCATTTCAATTAACTTAAAATTAAGACAACCAGGTTACTTTTTTTTTTAAGTTAAACCAACAATATTTTTTTACAGTGTATTATGAATATTATTTTAAATTATATTAAAATATTAATATGACAAAATCATAGATCAATAATAATACATGATTTTATTATTTATTTTGATATACATTTAAATACCTATTATTGAACCTATTATTGAATATACAATTATTTACCAAAATAATTGCAGAGATTCTGTACGGGCCAGAACATCACCTACAATCACGGCGCAACTGAAACTAGACAAACCAAAATAAAATTGCTTTGAAAACCTGACAGTACGAATGATAGCGTTACTTGAGCACGTGAAGTATGTGAAAGCACCTTTAGACGTGCCATATCCTTTTGTAAGCTTCCCACCAAAACACACACGCATTCACACAACATAAATTTACAGCCGTGCTTTTGGAGTTGTCAAGCTGGTCTGTGTTGATAAAAGTAGCCATAATGTTTACAGTGTCAGATTTACCACACAGAAATACACGGGTTGTGTGGTGTCCACCATTTCATGATAACCGCTCCTGTCAGTGTCCTCAAGGACTGGACGAGCCAATATACAACACATCGCTTATGATCACCAATATAACACACACGTCCTATAAAGTGGTCAACTCCGCTGGGCGGTGGAAGAGTAAATAACCGAAAGAAAAGAGTAACCTTGACCGCACCGTCTCGCGCACACACACACACACACACACACACACATACTCGGACATGTCTCCTGTGTGAAGGGGAGCTTGATTGAGGGGCTCTATTATGGATGAGCTTAAAGGAAACCTCGGTGATGGATGACAACTCGCTCTAGTCACCTTCACATATCCCAGCATCCTCTCTGTCCAGCTGCCGCCCAATTCTGCTGACAGATGCAAAACACATCCGCCAGCCGGGATAAAGAGGGAGAGAGAGAGAAAGAAAGCAGAGGAGGGAAAAGAAGGATAAACGGAGGACAGGAGGACATACAGCAGAGAGAATTAAAAATCTATTTTCTATTGCTGTTTGAAATCTAATTCGTTTGTTTATGAGACTGTCTGCAAGAGAAAAATGTCATTTGGTGAAATGGCGAGGTGTGAGTGCAAGCATTGATCCTGTCAAATGTTAAAAGTCACAGTGATTAATATTGAAGCCTGTAAAATAAACGTAAAGGAATACGAGCGAGTTTCATTCGTGTAGCAAAACTCAGAATGGCAACACGTACAAAAACACAGGCATCTAAGGTTGTACGTTTTGCGCCATAGCGTTAGGCAAAGCATCGGTCAATCTATCAAACTAAAATCAAATTTGCGATATGGCACACAATGGCTACAATCTAATTAAGTATATAGTTTGTTACGCTGTGCGTTTCAGACACTATGTTCATTTACAACAGAGCAGCTCATGATCCAGTGTTTTAGCATGTCAGATAATGCTGCGAACTACTGTACATCTCTGCATGTGCTTAAAGGTTAATCATATAAAGCGATCAGGTATCTTCAGAAAATTTGGACAAAACCACTCAATTCATATGGATAAGTTTTACGATCTCTTTATGAAGCATCAAAGTGACAGAAAGCTCCCGGATTTCATCAAAAAAACTTCTTCATTTGAGTTCTGAAGATGAATGAAAGTCTTACAGGTTTGGAAGGACATGAGGGTGAGTAAATGATGACAGAAGTTTCATTTTTGGGTGAACCATCCCTTTAACGTCCATTTGGGAACGCAACAGGGAAATGTTTGTAAACCTGCTCTCAAATGAACACAAAACGTTTCTCTGCAGATATACGGCAAATTAAAAGCTTGTGGGATTAACTACTGTAAAGTAAAATATTTATTATTTTAGCTATTATGGAACATAATTTTTTATTTTACAGATCAGAGGTACTATAATATACAGTAAGTAAATCTTAGATATAATATTATAACATCATTTCTTTTTTATTATATTCAATTGTTTGGCCTCCTAAAAGACTGAGAGTATCACAACTAAAAAAAGAGGCCAGTGAAATTATAGCATCATAATACTGTATAATAGAGATACTATTATAGTTTTTGTTCATATTTTCGAATTAGTTTTTATTTTTATAATTTCAGTTTCATTTTAACTACATAGTTTTTATTAATTTATGTATTTAATATTAATTTATTTTTTATTTATTTTATTAATTTATTTCAGTTATTTAAGTACATAGTTCAAACTATTGAAAATGACAGATTATGCCTTGGCAACAAGCTGAACTATTTTTATTTATTTCATTTCAAGTAAAGAAAGTTTTTACCATTTTAATTTTAGTTTTAGTGAACTAATAACCCTGTATTGAGTCTTTAAAGTCTAGTAGTCAATGTCAATGCAAAGACTTTTTTTACCCCGTTAAATATGGTCACTAAAAGGGGATTGGAACTCTTAATTTTGCTTTCAAAGTGAACCAGATTGATACATTTAGCTTTAAATATCCAAATAAAAAAAAAAAAAAACAATTTCATGGGACCATGTCCCTAGACCCCCTGAGCTCCACCCAACCAAAGTCTCACAAAAACTGAGGAAAATACTGAACGGACACAAAATCAAATCAAAACTGTCCTAGTGCGCACGAAAAACACTAAAATGTGTAAGCTCATGTGATTGACAGCACGAGTCTCCACGTGCGTTTCTACCTTGCTGCTGAGTCATAATGAGGACGGCACTGAGCGTGCTCCGAGAAGAACAGGGTCACCGCGGCAACGCCGGCCGGCTGATGGGCACCAAATGAACAAATTATGACGCGGCCCTCGGATTGTGATGGGGTCAAACGCCCCCCAGCCCGTGCTCACCCTCGTTCGCCCCCCGCTCGCCCTACACTGACAGTTCAATTTCCCTCCAACGCCCCGCATTCGGCCCCCATTCGCCCCGCGCTAATTATGAATGAAAAGTTATCAGCCGGCTCCCCCGGCGTGAGCTTAAACAGTATTTCAGAGCAGAACCGCACGTCAAAATGTTATTAGAAACGGGAGGAGCCGAGGCAGATAGTTCGCACGCTGACCCCGGATCGGCTAAATACCGCCGCTAACCATCCCAGAATGCATCGGAGTGTCTCTCCATTTCACACACCGTTATTTCATCCGCACCCGTGCCTGCCAAAGTCACACACACCCACACGCGGCCGTGTCACATGAATATATTTTCATACATCTGCATGCACGCGGCTAAGAAAGACCAGCTGTGTGACGTGACACACCATAATAAATGACCGCGTTTGAATGCATGTATGTGCGAGCGAGAGAGATGAGGTTTATCCACCGTGACTAAGATTATAGCGGCCTGTAATGTATTTATGCATAGCATTGACTTTAAATAAGCCCTTTCTCTTTCTCTCAATCTCACCCTTTATTTCAGCTCTGATTAGCCTGCCCGCCGAGGCTCGTGGGTAGTATTCTAATGACCTGTGCCTAACCGCTTCTAGCTGCGCGGCAGCCCGGTCCTGACGAGCCTGTCAATCAAAGCACCCGCCCAACGCCGTGATAAAGGTCGCCGGGGCAACCCCGCAGTGATGGACAGGAGGAGAATAGGAATTCTGACAGATGGAAGTTTAAAAGTTTTCTTTCAAGGATATCAAGGATCGTGCGTTATCAGCAATCATAGTTCAACCGCAGTGCTGTCAGCGTTCGTAGTTTAATAGCATGCTCGTATGCTGAAAGTAATGCTTTTTTTGGTGCATTTTTAAAATTCGTATATTAATAATATCAGACCAAAGGACAGGAAATTCGAGAACATGGGGGAATGGATCTGGAAATTGTATTATATGATAGAATACAATTTAAAACCAGAAATTGGGATGTAAAATTATAAATTAGTTTGAATGAAATTAATAGAAAACTTGTTTTACACAATGTATCATTATCATTTGTTGCTATCATTTTCTCCACAAGCTTTTTGTTCCGTGTGTTTAGATATTCATCAGTTATTTTTGGTTAACAGCATTAGTCTCAATTCTAATTCACAATATTAACAGTTTTTAAATCACTCCACTGCATCATTTCTTGCAATCTCTCTAATATTTCCAGCCAAAGTAAAAATATTATCAAATCAATTTTAAGCTCTTTAAGGGAATGTTTTACTGAAAATTACACTGTTTATGGAAATCTCCAATCCAATAACTGTTGTTCTTTTAACTTACTAGTCTACAAGAAACACTAATAAATGCATCACTGTTTTCAACATTGATAATAACGAAGATTTTCTTGAGCACCAGATCATATTAGAATGATTTCTGAAGGATCATGTGACAGACTGGAGTAATGATGCTGACAATTCAGCTTTGCGTCACAGGAATAAATGACATTTTAAAATATATTAAAATAATAAACAGTTCTTTTAAACACTAATAATATTTTATTAAGTAGTTTGTATAAGTATTTTGATCAAATAAATGTACCAACCTCAAACTTTTGATTGGTATTGTTGTAGCAAGCCATAATGTGTCACACTGAAATGCCAGTTCCTCATTAGCTTATTATCTTTTTTTTTAAAGTGCCAAAGCCAATTCTCCTTTCAACACAAAATCTCACTATATGTACGCATAGAACTAAGTGTAAAACAACACAAAGTATTACAAACAATAAGATCAAGGTCTAGATCCCACTAAGAATCTTTTGGTTGAAATATGACAGCAGTGCTGGTCTATAAACACGCGTATAGAGTGTGTGTGTTATTGACAGGAGGAGTCTGTGGGCCGTAGGGATATTACAGTTCATGTGTCAATCCTAAAAGAGAAAGACACAGATAGTATTTGAGAAGAAATGACCACACATGCTTCATTCATCTCTCAGTGACATCTCTCCCTCCCTCTCGCTCTCTTGACATCCCTCTCTCCCTGACACAGGACTCTCACGGGAGAGGAAGGAGCCTTCATACAGCAAAAGGTCAACAATCACATACACTGACAACACACACACACACACACTGGTGGAGAAGAAAGAGGGAAGGCAATAAAAAAAACAATCTATAATACAACAGGACAAAGAACATCCAAGATGGACTCAAATAAAAGACCAGAGAGGAAATGACAAAAAGGAAGTAATATGTACAGTCAGTTGGTCATTAATGCAAAATAAACCAAAACAGAATGAATATACCCGACGTCAAAGAACAAGCGGTGACGAAAGCATCGGCCAAAAAGCGTCGCTTGAATACACCAAAAGGACTAAAGGCGGTTGTCAGTTAGCACATGCGTTCTGCTCCTGCGTGCAAGTAAACATCTGTCTATATCAGCATGTAGTCTATTTTTCATCATTCAAAAAAGAAACAGAAACTAGGACTGCAGAAACCGTAAACAAAGCAGCGCTTGCTTAGCTTGTTGAGCCAACTGGAATGAAGGAAGTTGATGTTCATGTTATTCTGAAAATATTTGTGTATTCGAATGCTCAGGGATTTACCAATCCCAAAAAACCTAGACGGCTTCCGACTAGAGCCAATAGTGCGGAACACACCGGAAAAACGAAGCCGACCGACGCTCAAAAACGACCCGAGAGCCAACCGTCAGCTTGGTGTGTTTCAGCCGTTAAATATACACTTTATTCTGATTGGTCATGAAGTTGAAATGACTGCTAAAAGTACTCCAGAGAGCTAACCACAAAAAGCCAGAGAGGACAAACACACACACCTGTAAGGCTGATGCGCTGGGTGAGATTGAGAGCCCCTGCAGGTCAGACAGAAGACTAGGAGACATGATGGAGCTCTTGGGTGTGGCCACCGGCATGGGCGAGACTGCAAATACAAAAACAACAACATTAAAACCCATATCGTCACCTTGTATCTTCTCCAAATTTGGTCATTTTTATTTTTTTTCATAAATCATCACTATGGGTCACCCTTAACATCTGTCTTTGGGTTATACACATAATTCATCAATGAAAAGTTAAATATGATGATCCAGAAGCGACCAGGCAAAGAGAACCCACGTCACAACCAGAGCAGTCCCAAGAGCAGTTAGAGGTAGCGGAAGCGTGAGCCCCTCGGCCCAGCTCCCAGTTGTGGTCAGAACCAAATGCAAAGTTTTAACGCTGGATTTCAGGACTACAACTGGAACAGCTCTTCCCTATCTTAACTCACGACTACAAATGTATGCTCCCTCCCGCCAGCTCACTCAACTACACTCACTCTCCAAAACTTTCACTCTCTCTGTTCCTCTCTGCTGGAATGAGCTGCCAACCTAGTGTCTAGTCTAGCACTTGTCATTGCGTCATAGCCAATACGGTCTTAATTATGGGATTGTCTTTTTTTCGAGATTTTTTTTAATGCAATAGTTGTAATGAGATTTCGTAATTTTCACACTGCAATTCTCTGATTGGCGGAAATGTCCTTGCAGAATCATGACTAATGTAATTTTTCCCCCAGGAATTCTGATGTTAAACTTTAAATAATTCAGGCTGAAGTCTTCAACAAAACCATATAAAATCGATGAACAACCTCAAAGCTCACAAAAGGTCTGTAATTTATAATTAAAAATTTAGGGGAAATGAATCAGACTTTGACTTCTGGAACCTTTATGTAGACAGCAGGGTTTGGAAAATAGCCATTCTATTACAAAACAACACAATGCCTCAATTTAACTCAAGTCATCAGAACAAACTTACAGTCGTCCAGATCGAGGAGAGAGACTTCCTTCTTCTCAGCCTGCTGAACATACAAACAAACTTTCAATTAACACATGGGTGGCAGATGTTACACACATGCATGTAATATGCAGAAAAACTTCATATTCATAATTGTTTGTTTGTACTCTCTTGTACTTCTTACCTTTGTAACCGGTTTGGACTGGACAGTTTTAGACTGTGTTTTTCTCTTCTGATCTGTCCCCGAGTCTGAATTTGAATCCAGTTCAGATTCCGATCCGGATTCAGACGAGCTTTCAGACGAGGAACTCTCAGAATCTGATTCACTTCCGGATCTGGATTTGTCATTTGCAGCTTTCCCATTCTTCAGCTTCCTGTCAGGATCACACACACAGACACACACACACACACAATTGAACTATTTGTTAGAGTTCATTAGCCAAATGAATAACTGCAAAATCAACCTAGATAGTACAGGGGACCAATTACGCCCTTTTACAAAGTCTTGATTTTGTTTTTGGGATCGACTAGAATAGGTTTTTTTTAAAAGGGATACTCCACTTCTTTTGGAAATAGGCTCATTTTACAACTCCCCCAGAGTTAAACAGTTGAGTTTTACCGTTTTCGAATCCATTCAGCCGATTTTCTGATATTTAGAAGAATATCAATAACCAGACAGACTACCATGGAAGTCAATGAGACCAGAAACGGTCTGGTTACTAATAGTATTCTAAATATCAGAAAATCGGCTGAATGGATTAGAAAACGGTAAATCTCAAACTGTTTAACTCTGAGGGAGTTGTAAAATGAGCCTATTTCCAAAAAAAAGTGGAGTATCCCTTTAAATGCATAATTTTTCACATATGCATATTTATTGAGTGCATATTTTTCACATTTTACACTGGTGCAGCACCTCTGTTTCCAGTCTGTACACTCACTTTAGTTTCTCTCTCTATGAAGCCCCTCCTTCTGAAAAGCACAATGTGCGCTGATTGGTCGGCTGGACCAGTGTGTTGTAATTGGTCAACCGCTTCAAATTTGTTTGGAAAATGCCACGCCTCTTACCATAATCACTGATATAGAGAATAACTCCCATTGGACTGACTGTGTAACTTTGCAGACAATTTTTTAATGCTCAAACAGAAACATTACACACTAAAGAATGTTGAAAATGTAAAAAATCATAAGAGGAAAGCTTTTAAAAAGAGACACACTTCACTTCTTTAGAACATCTATAACCTTTCTTTTGCACAAATCACTACAACATTTATAAATGCATAAATACTTATTAATGGGTCATAGAGAGAGAGAGAGAGAGAGAGAGAGAGAGAGAGAGAGAGAGAGAGAGAGAGAGAGAGAGAGAGAGAGAGAGAGAGAGAGAGAAATTAGCAGAGGGAACAATGTCTGTTTAATTGAGAAATGATTAGATAGATTAATTTGGCCTTTGGATTTCATTTGCTCAGAACAAGAAGTGGCGTGGACACACACACACCCTAACTGAAGTGTGCACAGTTCAACAGCACCATTAAAGCAGTGTGTGTGTGTGTGTGTGTGTATTAATGAGAGCATTTCACGGTGGTTGAGAATGTAGGAGAGAGCCTTAAATTATGCACAATGATGGCAGAACAGCAAACAAAACAGGCAAAGAGTGTATCACACACGTGTGTGTGTGTGTTTGTGCATTAGCGGTTTAATTACAGTCTCTAATGAAGGCAGCAGGGTCAACTACAGGAACATTACATCACAACAATCAAAAGTACAAACTGTTTGTGTGTGCGTGTGTTCTTGTATACAGAATCGAGCAAGTCGTTGGTCGTGATTTTTTATGCCTTGAAAATGTAAACATTTGGTTAAGTGTTAGACTAAACATTGTTGCAAATTCTGCTGATTTTAAATGTGTTTCTACTCTTAACAAATTGCAAATGCGACCGTTGTCTCTTTTGGAAGCATCAGTAATGGTTTGAAAATGAAAAAAACATAGATGTTTGCAGTGCAAGTCATTGTTTTTGTGACTTAAACATATAGCTGTTAATGATTTTTAATTGAAAATTTAACTTAAAATTGAATGAAAAATATACATATTTCTAGCACATAAAAATATAATGTACAGTTTCTTTGTGGGGTAGCCAGTGAAAATGTTGTAAAAAAACTGAATTACTTATTTTTGAGTCCTGGCATGTGTTAAAGAGAGAGAAAGTGTGTGTGTGTGCGTGTGTGTGTATGTGAACAGATGGAGGGTGAGATTATTGGTGCCACATTTTATTAGTCACGTTTTATGCAGCAGCATAAACAATCAGCCAAACACACACTGAACACACACTTTATTTACATCCTGCATATATATATATATATATATATATATATATATAACCCAAGTTGTATATTGTGTGTCCAAATGTGCACACACTTGAGCAAAACACACCAGAAGTCAGAAGACCCAAGTCAATCTTGCATACCATCTGTCTATATATTTAAGCAGAAAAACACTTCAAAATTAGCAGTAGCACGTGATGTAAGTATTAAATGCAGCAATTTAATCTTGAGCAAACCATTAACCTTAAAGGGATAGTTCTCCCAAACCTGTATGTAGTGATGTACTACTATTCCCGATAATGCTTATCGATCCGGTACTTCAACAGTATTCTCATCGGTCCTTTTTGTCTATATACATTTATATTAAACAAAGATAAACAAAAGATAAACAATTAAACAAATATACACAATAGCCGCGTTTCCACTGCCGGGCCAGGGCCGGGCCGTGCTAGTGCGTGCCAGGGCCAGTCGCGTTTCCACTGTCACTTCCGGGGCTTGATCGGGGCTTCCTCAGGGCCAACGGCCAGGATTTCTGGCCCGTCGAATACCTTGGGCCAGAGGGGGCCAGCTCGGGCTAGAGGCGTGCTCAAGGTAAAAAGGCGGAGTTTACCGGTGTTATGGAACGTTATGATCTGAAGCAAGATGCACATAGGGGTGTCGAGCGTCCATGTTTAACCGATTAACCGTTTAAAATTGCATAACATTTTAATTTGAACTGTAGGCCTATGCCAAATGCTGCGCAACAATATATAGGCTATATATACATATCGACGAATTTTCAGATATTTGTTTGATTTTTTTGCCCCTTAAACATTTAAAATATTTGACAAATTAATATGAAAAAAATATATATTTTACTGGTTTTCTGAGGCCAAATTAGAACCTGGAAATGATATTTTCCCCGCAGTGCTGAATGAGAAGAGCCGTAACCACAGCCTACGGGGATTTATGGGTGATTTATAGGCTATAATAAATGTGTCTGATAATAAAATAATATAAAATAACGAGGCATTAATTGTTTATTAATAAACTATTGTTTTCTAAATGATTTTCGGCTAAAAACATATCTCCATCTCCGGATTCACATTTAGAGAGAAATTAAGCTACATAAACATAGAAGATATTGGCTTTCGATTCGAATTTGTTCTTTTTAAATTGGACATTTAAAGCTTTAATCTACAAAGGATATAACCCCTGTAGACTAAAGCTTTAAATGTCCAATTTAAAACGAACAAATTCGAATGCGTTGGCTGTTTCAGGTCTCGCGCTTCAGTTCACGGAGATCATGAAGCGCGCCTTGATTAATTGTTAAAGCACAACGTTTTCTTGTTATAAATAAATTTATTTGCGAATAATGTATTATTATTTTCTGTATGACCAGAAATTAAAGAGTATTTTAAGTTGTTTCCACTGAAAAAAATGCAATGAAACTGTTCACATGGGCGTCTCGCAGCCATCAGTGCGTGCTCCACACACACTGGATATGCGCTGATATTTGTCAAAAATATTGTGTTTATTTGTGCTCTGTTCCTTTTTTGGATAAAGGCGTCTTCTACATATGCAGCCTAATAAAATGTTACAATAATGATGATGATGGTTATTATTATTATTATTATTTGCAGACACGGAGTTTTTGTGAAATGGACGTTTTGCTTATTTTCAATTGGCAATTTCAGTTTGAAGGGTGATGGAAATGGGTCTTTAACTGCTCCGTACTTGCTGCGTTTTATTTCTATAAATTAATTTCGTTTCAAATGGGGTCCAATCAGTTATTAAAGGTGTTAAAAAATTAACTTTGTATCTCGAGGTTGCGGCGCGCACACTATGCACCGAGTATTAACCGATGGGCCTCGGTTAACGATTAATGAATAACTTGAAAACGTGCCCGCAGCCCTACTTGTTATATCGCGCAAAAAATCGCTGCTTGAAATGGAGAATCGCCTGTACTGGTCTCGGGACACTATTGCAGCCACTACGGCAGGTGAGTTAATATACATGCTATCTTCCTAATTTAAAAAAATAAATTAATTCATAATACCCGCTGAAATGGGTTGGGTTTTATGACGTTTGATCCTGAAAGGCGTGTTAGGGGTGGGGTCTGGGGCAGCGCTGTGGGGCTACTGGCCCGGCAGTGGAAACGCAAGCCCGGTGCTTGAGGCCCGAGGCCACTAGCTCGGCCCGGCTCGCTGTTAGCTCTGGCCCAGCCCTAGCCCGGCAGTGGAAACGCGGCTATTGTATAGGCCTACACAGTGCTTCAATTTTAGGAAGGTCTACCAACATTACTGTTCAGGATTAGTCTAAAAAGAAATAGTCTAATAAAGATTAGTCTAATAAAAGATTAGTCTAATAAAGTATTCAAATGTAAAATAACAATGCATACTTTATCATAGATAGATTAATGCTTATTAAAACTATTTATTCAAGAACTGTGAGTGATTTCCTTTTTGCCTTTTGTTGTTTGATTCACAGTAATGGTGCAATCGTCAGCATGTTTATTAGACTGCTTCCCCTTTAAAGGGATACTCCACTTTTTTTGTGGAAATAGGCTCATTTTACAACTCCCCCAGAGTTAAACAGTTGAGTTTTACCGTTTTCGAATCCATTCAGCTGATTTTCTGAGATTTAGAAGAATATCAATAACCAGACAGTTTCTGGTCTCATTGACTTTCATAGTATATGGAAGTCAATGAGACCAGAAACTGTCTGGTTACTGATATTCTTCTAAATCTCAGAAAATCAGCTGAATGGATATCTAAAATAGCCGAAATCTAAAATAAACTCCGACTAATATCACAGATCTAAAGTGTAACCAGGCTACGTTTGAATGTTTAGTTCTGTCCTCTGTTGTCACTCATTTGTCCCTCCGTTGAATACTACGGAAGTCAACTTTTTTGTTACCCACGATCTTCAAAATATCTTCTGTGTAACGTTCAAAAGTTTGTGGTCTCTGAGATTATTTGATTGTTTCGAGTTTACATTTTTAATGCTTTGATTATGCTCAAGGCTGCATTTATTTGATCAATAATACAGTAAAAAACGTGATATTATGATGTATTATTCCAAATTAAAATAAGTTTTCAATTTTAATATATTTTAAAAAGTAAAGGTGAAATTTCAGCATCGTTACTCCAGTCTCCAGTGTCACACGTCCTTTAGAAATCGTTCTCAAGAAACATTTCTGTTATTATGGATATTGAAAAAAATTGTTTTGCTTAATATTTTTGTGGAAACCATGATACATGTTTGTTTGTTTTTAGGATTCTTTAGTTTATAGAAAAAAACAGTATTTTTTTGAAAGAAATTCCAACAATATAAAATGTACAGTCACTTTTGATGAATGTAATGCATCCTTGCTGAGTAAAGGTATACATTTCTTTTTGTTACCTTACTGACCCCAAACATTTAAACATATGACATTGATACCTGTCTTTGCTGGCTGGTTTCTGCTGTTGTAGCTTTTTGTTTTTCTGCGTTTTCTTCTTATCAGTGTCTGATTCACTGGAGCTCTTCTCTGATTGGCTGGAGCTGCTCTTGTTTGAATCATCGCTGTTCTCCTCACTCTTCGATTCGCTTTCTGATTCTACAATCACACACAAACAGGTTGAGACGAGGATCGATTTGAAAAAAAACGTCATCTTACACAAGCCAAGCCGAACTCATGTTTTACCTCCACTGCTGCTACTACTGTCCTCACTGCTGCTTCCCTCTTCCTCCTCTTCCTCCTCAGAACCAGAGTAGAACTTCTCATCTGATTTGCGATGTTTGGATTTACCAAGCGCTGGTGCCAGGGCCTCTTTCACCTGCCCCAGACACAAAGGAACAGGAAATGAGGTCATATTCATTTGAGAAGTGATGGGATCATGGCACTGTAAATACACTGTACTCTGATCAGCCCTTTTCACACAGTAATCCCAGTAAATTACCTGAAAAATTACTAGAATGACTTTACTGGTAAATTCCCGTTAAGAGATCATGTGTGAATAGTACATTTATGTATTTATTGGTAAAGACTTTTACCCCCCACCCCACCCTGTGTGTTAAAGGGGCTGTTGCTAACATTTTGTGAAGATTATGTGTTTAATAAAACAAAAACAAAGCAATAAAAGAAAAGGGATTCTCACCGGCTCTACTACCTCCACATTTCTGACTGATTGGTCAGGAGCGACAGATGGCCAATTAGAAAGCTCCAGGTACCCAGTAGCATGAGAATTGAGCGAATGAGAGAGCGTGCCAAGCTGAAAACGATCTCGGTCTGAAAAACAGACAAATACATGTTGATGTCATCAAATACGGTGCAATGTCTAAGTTTTTCATATCAAAGCAACATCTGCTTATACAAAACTCAATGGTAAAACTTTTCATTCAAGTTAACTGAAAATGAATAAAGTAAAAAAAAAAAAAAAAAGTAAAGATATACATAATTTGAATTAATAAATACACCAAAGATTTACTGAAATTGACAACTGCCATTTAATTCTGCTTATAAGTTATTATAATCCATTATCAGAGAATATACATTGCCAACTTAAATATGTTCCAGATAATATTTGACTAATATTTTTTATATTATTTTCACTGTATAAAAGGTTACAATAAAAAATATTAATAAATATTCAATTCAATTTAGAAGAAGAATAATCATATTAATTAATGTACTTGTACTACACAAACAACAAAGCACAATAAGTGGCCAATAAAAATCTAATCTAAAAAAGAAAATATACAACTTCCTTTATAGTTTCCAAATCATATCAACATATATATGGCATAAAAAGATTGAAAACAACTCAAACTGAGTTGAATAAGCTGAAAAGATACCTTATGATAGTCAAAAGTTTTGCTGCGCAAGACTAATAAAATGGCTTCTAGTTTATGCCCCCAACTCTGGGTTTACTTTACTTCGTCATAATAAACAAAAAAGCAATAAGTGTCCCCACAGACCTTCAAGAGACCTGCAGAGTAATTGGTATTAAACTGGCAGAAATGCCACGGCATTCAGATCTGCCCGTGTGCCCTTCTCACAACACACTGGGTACGTCCCATAATAACCAAGGTATATGAACGCATAATCACTCTGGCTCTGCAGAATATAAACATGAGCACACAGTAGATCTAAACCAAGAATATTAAAAATGACAGCAGCAGTTAAATGTCTCGCAAGTGTTATAGGGTAAATTTATGCCGCATTAATGAAATAAAGACTAATGGCTGTATGTTTCAGTGTACTAATTTATTTTAATCTGTAGTAACCATGGGGACAATCATGAAATCATTGTAGTAAAACAAAAGCAGCCAAAATCGGGAGCAGTAGTTAAGTAAATGATCAGTGCACTGGTTCGGACTATTGATACGTTTTTTCGGCTAAAGCATGATGGTTCACCTTCATCCCAGAGATCAGGTTATGTGTCACAAATTGCGTCTTCAGTTCACGTGACTTAAAAAAACACACACAAAGGCATGTCGCATTGAGTTTCATCACAGAGAAGCATAATCATCCCTTACAAACTTTATTACCTCCTATTAAGAGCGGGACACGCTTTACCAAGCACTGTGAACGATACTCGGCACAACAAAAATTACCCCCAGCGACAGCCGGCATCAATCACACCGAGCGCATCCTTTGCGCAAAACCCAAATCCATCCATGCATCCATCAATGCATCCATCCATGTATCTACAGGAGCAAATGAGTAACACCCTTTTCCTGCTCGTGAGCGTAATTACTCCTGGTTAATTGCAGGTGAAGTGCGTGAACGTACAGGAGGAGTTGTAAACCAACGTGAGGGTGTGTGAGGGGCGGACGGGGCTCCCACATTCCACTGTCTGTTATCAAACGATGCAAAATCCAACAATTCAATTCTGCACGGGAGGAACAGATGGCGTAGCATCCCGATTCAAGCCGCAAATCCAGAGAAAAAAGTCCAGCCCTGGGGCGGGAAAAAAATAACTGCGTGCCGTTTGATAAGATCAGAGTATTTCTGCATGCTGTATTGACATTTAGGGATTAGCATTAGCACTGCTGTCATGGCCTGCGGGGAAGAATTCCCATGATGGTGTGGTGTGTTTCAACTCTGAAGCCCTGCTGCAATGGAATCATGTGATGTAATAAGAGAAAGTGGGTGAAATCAATGTCAGCAGAACTCTTAAGTTCGTATAGATGCGGTGGTGTAATCTAGAATCAGAGCATGACGGTAAACAGACTTTTTTTTTTAACTGCTTCAAACACGAAATGCTTTAAACACGAAAGATATGGCCCTTATAGATATGGGGTGGAGATGAAAGGTTGTAGGTTCATATCTTCCACAGAATGATTTCAGGGATCTTATGGTTTCCCATGAATTGTAATAAAGGTCATTCATTTTTAAAATTCATTTTAACAGAGATTGCAATGACAAAAAGCCATTAGCTGATCAACTAGCTGATCAAATATTTTACTATAGTTATTAACAACCAAAATATTCACTATAGAAATTTAAAACAACTTTTTAAGAATTTTCCAGACCTAAAAATACTTCATTATTTGAAATGTTTTTTTTTTTTAAATGATGTTTATAGAGATTAGAGAAAAGGCAATTTCTAGCTAATAAAATATTTTACTACTAAATTGTAAAAAAATATATATTCACTGTAGAAATATAAATGACTCTTTATGACTTTTCCAGGCATGAAAATCTACATGTACATTATTTCGATGTTGTACCTGCAGTTTCAGGTGAAGAATTAATAAATAAACGAAAACAAATTGTTATATTTTATAAATATCACACAATAATACAAAACATATAAGATGATAATTATTAAATAGATGGAAAGATATATTTTATTAATAAAGTGCAGAGTTATTTTACATTTGATTACTGTTTCTGTACCTGAAATTTTTAAAACACTGTTTAATTCATTTATTTGGTCTTTTTTAAGTACTGAGTGTTTACTTGTCTTTAATAATGTTTGAAAAGTATATTAGTTAGGCTAGTTGTTATTGCTATGGTATTTTAAAACCATAGGCAAACGTTCCTTGTGTAAGAGTTATTAGCCTGTTGATTTTTGTTCATGGTATTCAGCTAAAATAAAATGTTGTGCAATAAGACTTACAAAAGTAAGTCTTGAAGTGGAATTGAAATTAGGAATCACAGTCGATAATCAGAATTGGAATCTTTAAAATTCACATGATACCCAAAACCCTGGTAATACCAGTCATTCATTTTTAGAGAGATATTACAGATGCGTGATCTATATGTTACCAACCTTTAAAGGCAGACTGCAAAACAGGAGCCGGTTTGGGCGCCATCAGGATCCGACGAGCGTATTTGCTCAGGGCTCCGCTCTTCTCGTTTGGAACAATCAACTGACGAATGAACCGTGTTCGGTCTCTGATGTCATAGTTCTGATCGTACTTGCCCAAGTTCAATATGTATTGAGTCAGCAATTTTGTCTGTAAGAGAGAAAGAAAGTGAGATAAAGCACAGCCAAAACACACACACACACACACACACACACACACAGTGTGATTTGATTTCACCTGTTTGGAATTGGTCAAGTAGAGTTTGGCAGACAAGTTGACGATCTGCAGTTTGACAATGTCCTCCTCACTAGTAAAGGTCTTGGCCATCTTTCGCAGGACGTCAGGGGCGATTTTAGGCACGTGTTCACAGTATTCACCCATCAGCCACAGGATGCTGGCCCTCGCCATTGGTACCTAAAGAAAAAAGTGTGACACCAAATACACAGAACATCAAATTGTAATATTATATGATGTAAATAAAACCTAATCAGACTATAGTTGCACACACAACAGCACTACTGTTGTGTATTATTGTGCAAGTCTCTCACAGTGATGTTGTCGAAGAGTTTGGCCATATGTTTGATGATGTCACTGTGCTGTGATGGTTGAGTTTGCAGAAGTTTCTTGATGACCACCACACTCTCCGCGACAACAGTCTCTACAAAGACAAGAAACACGTAAAATACACCAATATAGTATGATTTTTTTTTTTGTTTCCTGTAGTAACAATAACTAACTGTCGTAACCAGTGTTTGTGGAGTAACTACGGAAAAGGAGAAATCTAATTGTAACTTACTGTGCATGCAGTTAATATAATTTACTGTGCGTGCAGCTTTACATTTGAGCGAAGTGAGGAAATAATCATTCACACGCTCCTATAATGTCCTCTCGCTCTCATATGTCAAGTCTGGGAGTTATTTTAGTGAATCAATTCAATCAGATTAAGATAAATCAAGCTGTTTGATTCACAGACTCATTGAGTCCCCATGATCCATATACTGTATGTAGGTGAATACTGCATATTCTACACTCAAATATAGTGTTTTTCAAGTTTCATCAGTTGTGCTATAGTATATCCTATAGTATAGTAGGATCCTCATTGTGTCAGGTAAACATTCCTCTGATTATACAATTATATCAGAGGTTTTGCCACTAAAGAAATGACTAAATCCAAGGTTTCACTTAGTTTCTTCACCCTAGACTGTGAATGTTTATTGAATTGAATACTCTTGAGTAATCAATGTAAAAAGTACAATTTGGGTGTTATTAGTTGTTTATCTATAATTGTGTTTTAAATAAAGATCAGACCAGATTTATTGAGAAATCAACACAGAAAGTATATGTATATACATTAAATATCTGATTTTAAATATCACTCGCACTATAATGTCAATGTAGTTAGTTACGTTTTTGCTTGTAGTTTGTAGATGAACTAAACTACTGAAATAATATCAACACCAGTATGTGTTATTGTTTATATCCTATTGTTTAAAGTTAAAAAAAAAATGTTTTTTTGGGGGGGAGGAGTTTTTTAGAAGTCATTGAAACTATCTTCATCTGTGGTGATAATGGCTTTGTCAATTTTGTCTTTACAAGACATAATGAACTTCATCGTAGTGCCATCAGGCAATGATAAGCACTGCTGCTCATAATTGAACAATACATTTTAAAGCAAAAGGCTCATGAGGTTAGTGTACAATTACCATCTCTGTTGGACAGCAGCAGGACCAGGCCGTTGAGGCAGGTGTCGGTCACCTCAGAGATGTCAGTGGCACACCGGCCGATGGCCTGGATGGTGGCCGCAGCAAACGCCTTATCCTGACTCTTCACGTATGTCTGGAACACACAAACATTTGCTTAAAACTGCCATTTTAAAACTGAACTTCATCGTTTCCCCTCAAAAGTCTACTTAGAACAGAACTCAACCTCACCCTGCAGAAAAACAGCTCCCAGCCTGACCATCTAAAGTGGCCAAGACCCCATTAAAACCAGTCTGCTAAACCAGCTATAACTAGACTAGAAGACCAAAACCGGCCAACCAGCTTTATGATGCCTAAAATGCTGTCTAGGTAGGCAGCTGAATAGGTTTTGAAACACAGCCCTCCTTCAGGTAAGAGTAAAGCTTAATTCGCAAACACAGAGAAAATAAGAGAAAACAAATCAATTTAATCTATGAAACTTTACCTGGAATTCTCTCAGTATGGTGGAGATATTTGCTTCATTAGCCATGCTAGTTAAAATCTCCAGCTGAAGAATTTGAAAAGATGAGATAAACATCAGACAACCCACAAAACATCGGCACGACACTGCGATGTAACACAAAACAATCATGAAATGAAGGCAAGTCTGTTTTACCTTGAGTGTTTTGATGTGAGTGGCATCTGTAGACCTCACATAGAAGCTCTTCATGAAGGGTTCAAACATCCCCTGAAAAAAAAAAAAATCCTTAGGTTTTACCTCTTCAAATCAGATTATAGTGTGTACCTTGCTTTTTTTTTTAGTAACCTCGGTGATTCCCTTAAGGCTTTTTACCTCAGCATTTACCTCAGATTCTATATTAGTGTTTGGCATTTCACCTTCACTGTTTACCTGCATACATCTTAGTTTACACCTCCGAATTTACACCTACTGTAACATCAGATTTTTGTTTTCATTATACCTCAGATCTTACCTTACGATTTACCTCTAGATTTCCTTCAGAATCGAGGCCTACTTCTCATTTTAACTCATATCATATCTTAAGATTTAATTCATATTTTATCTCTAGATTTCCTTCAGAATTGAGGCCTCTGATTTTACATAAGATCATTTACCTCATGATTTACAATTACATTACATTTACATTTTACATTTAGTCATTTAGCAGATGCATTTATCCAAAGCGACTTACATCTGAGGACTATATCAAACAAGTCATTGTGAAGAGGCAATAACAAGATAACACAAGAAGTGCTGAAAGTACAAAGTTCAAACATTGCTCAGAGTAGTATAAAACAAACAAATAAAGATTTTAAAAAAAATTACAAAAAAGATTATATTATACACTGCTCAAAAAAATAAAGGGAACACTTAAACAACACAATGTAACTCCAAGTCAATCAAACTCCAAATCCAGACCTCTATGGGTTGATAAATTTGATTTTCATTGATAATTTTTGTGTGATTTTTGTTGTCAGCACATTTAACTAAAGAAAAAAGTATTTGGAATAAGATTATTTCATTCATTCAGATCTATGATGTGTTATTTTAGTGTTCCCTTTATTTTTTAGAGCAGTGTATTATATTATTATTAAAAAAAAATTTTTTTTTTAATTATTTAACTCATATTTTATCTCTAGATTTCCTTCAGAATTGAGGCCTTTATTTTACTTAAGATAATTTACCTCAAGATTCCCCTCAGAATTGAGCCCTACCTCTCATTTTACCTCAGATCTTACCTTATGATTTAATTTATATTTTACCTCATGATTTCCTTCAGAATTGAGGCCTACCTCTCATTTTACCTCAGATCTTACCTTATGATTTAATTTATATTTTACCTCATGATTTCCTTCAGAATTGAGGCCTACCTCTCATTTTACCTCAGTGTTTACTGTTTCCCTCAGATTAAGCACTTAACATAGACCAACACATTTATGCCTAATTGCTTGTAAATCATTAGCATTGTTGGATGAATGCTTCTCTGAGTCTGTACCTTTCTCTGAATGGACATCGTGGCAATGTTCTGCAACACAACATACTGAACTTCCCTAGAAGAGCCGAGAGGGAAACCAAAAACAGGAATTAGATTGACAGATTTGATAATAAAGATATTTCCACCCCGTTTCTCTCAGTGTGTGTTACCTGTGGCTCCTCAAGAGTCTCACCAGGGACTTGGTGACGATGCTAATTTCATGTTTAGGGGCCAAATGCCAGTAGAGCTGAGATACTGCCATCACAACCTGAAAAAAGAGATGATTATATTAATGAAGGACCAAGCATTGTAGCATCCAAAAACACGATATTAGTACACTTTTTCCATGGTACGTTTTTTTAAAAAGGGAGTGAGAGTAAGAGATAGACAGGTAAGAAAGAGAGACAAATTAATGGGAGACGTGGTGGGGAGAGTCCCAGAGAAATGTGAAGTCAGAGAAAGTGGAAGAGGAGGGTTTGAGAGAGATAGAAAAAGAGATAGATGGTGATAGATTAGGAAGACTTCAATGTATGTAATGATTTTGTCTTCCCCAAATTACTTTGACCCCAATATACGAACAGGACAGCAGACTTCAACACATCAACCACTAAACCAGCAGAGAGAAAGAGAGAGAGCTGATAAAGACAGAGTGCACACTGAGTGTAGAACAAAGCAGGACAAGTTTTAATCAAAACATATCACACACACAAACGTCAGAAAACACACATACACACACAAGACCTTGAGCTTCCAGGTTGATGGAGCACTTGAGTCACTCTGTGTGTGTGTGTGTGTGATGTAGGAAGGAATAACATTTTCTGAGCACATTTCTAAGGCTGAGTGTGTGTAACGTGATTGAGCGGTGTCTGACACAGCCTTGGTCCAAACACAAACACACACACACACACACACACACACAGGTGTGAAGCCCTTCACTATTGCTCAAAGTTGAAAGAGCACAAGAGAGGGAGAAAGATGAGAAATGAGAGAGTATTTGAGTAATATTACAGATAAATTATGAATTAATAAAGCAAAAAAGAAGTTACTATCAGCTAAAAATGGAGCAAACTACAAGAATTGCATCAGTAATATTTGACTAGATGTTTATTCACCTATAAAAAAGCTTCAAAAGATCAATTTAGACAACTTTCATCCTTTCATCTTGAGATGTGAAAAAGTAGATATAGCCTAAATAGTATTATCTATAATAATAATACACTATATTAAAAAAATACAATGATTCATATTATAATGTAACATTTAAAAGTGCAAAGCAACATCTTGTCTAACAAATTAAATGTCGTCATCATTTTATGTAAGAGGTTGTGTGTGTGTGTGGTTCAGGGACTACCCTACATTGTGGGGACAAAATGGAAATGTTTTGGTCCCCATGAGGAAAACAGCGTATAAATCATACGGTTTAGGGTTTAATCAATACATTTAGGGGATAGAATATACAGTTTGTACAGTATAAAAATTCCCCAACCATAACCATAAAAAGTCGCCATAGTATACATGGAAACCCAATGTGTGTGTGTGTGTGTGTGTGTGTGTGTGTACTCACTGCAGTGTTTCTGCTCTGCAACAGTGGCTTAGTGTTTCTAAGCAGGAGTCTGTGGTCCGGATCCATGACGTACGTTTTAGGCTCTTCCACTCTCCTCTCTTCCTCAGAATCGTAAAAGGTTTTCTCGCTGTTCTCATCAAACACTGCATCCTACAATCACACACAGATTAGTAAACAAATTAATACAAATATCTAATGAATCGAACCAACTATAAGCCAAAACTGAATAAAGAGGCGACATAGCATAATTTAGAATAATAGCATATATAGTCCTCTCTCCAACACTCCTTCATACCTGAAACCCTCAATGCTAGCATTGAAAAAGATAAAAGAAAATGAAATTCAGATCAGCAATTTCGTGTCCAACTGAAACCGCTTTTCTTGATAGCTGAACTTTAAAAATATATAAATTAAATACAATTTGTGCTTATTGATTAAATGAAAGCACACAAGCTCACCTCTCTCCACGGGCTTACAAACTGCGTCCTGGCGTAGCGTGTCAGCATGTGTATGATGACGACCTGACCCCACTCCTCCACATCCACCAGCATGTTGCACAGCTTCCGATAGTTCTTATGGATCAAATCGATCCGGTCTGGACATACCTCCTCAAAAGCCATCACCACGCTGCCGGCAACCAGCTACAAAAAACACATGAAAAAAAGCAGGGTTTAAAACTGTTAGAAATGGTAAATTTAAGTTTAGAATTCTTGATTTGGAATGGTTGTTACACATTCAAGTGGTGTCAATCAAATAATTCCATACCATTAATATTAATGTTCAACTTTTATGAAAATTGCCATAGAATGAAAAATACAGATATTTGGGAGGTACTATCTACAAATTAGCTACAACTCAGAAAAAAGCACACAGCGATGAAAGAGTTAATTGAAAAATAATTTATAAAAAAAAAAAAAAAACCAACACACACCTCCACAGCTTCTGTGCAATTATCACTCACCCGTTTCTCCTGCAGCAACCCTAAAGTTGTGCTGGAGGTTTATAATTGCAAATTAAGCTGATTAGGTTATATATGCGTCGTAATTACAAACCTCAGTGTGGTCTCAAAACAAACAGATGCTTGGAAGATGACAACCTGTTCTGCTTCCCACCAAGCTAATATAACACACCACTCTCACTTTAGACTAATGAACTACAGTATATGAGAGAGAGTGTGTGAAAACAACACAAAGATAGAGATACAGAGAGAGCAAGAGAGAGAGAGAGGGAGAGTTTGAGCAGGTCAGGTGCTTCATTCATCATAATGCAACATCAATTCTAGCTCTGAGAGAAAGAAATTACAGGTAACGGATCCCTTAAACCCTTTACAAAAAATGAACTGGAAAACAAAAATGATTATCATATCGGTAACTGTAAATATTTCACAGCAGCCATGAATTACTGTTTTGCAACATCCATTATTTATAACCCTAGTTAAGAGTAAATAAATAAATATACTCAAATGTATTTGTAATTTCTATACTACAAATTACATTTACACACAGTATGTACTTAATATAAAGACCCTGCAATTGCACTTTTGGTATACTAAACTGATATACTTCAAGTCAGCTAAATTGGAAAAAAAATATTTTGTACTTAAAGGGATAGTTCACCCAAAAATTAAAATTCTGTCAGTATTTACTCACCCTTATATTGTTCCAACCCCGTAAGACCTTCGTTCATCTTTGGAACACAGATTAAGATATTTTTGATGAATTCTGAGAGCTGGATCTCTCCTGCATACTAGTCCATAGGCTTCTTGAGGGATTGAAACTTGCCGGCCTCGAAAAGTTATTAAAGACATCGTTAAAATAAGCCAAGAGACTACAGTGGCTCAATCTTAACTTTGTCGAGCGACGAGAATACTTTTTGTGCGCAAAAAACAAACAAAAATAACGACTTTATTTCAACTATTCACTTCCTTCTCTATGAGCCTCTAGTCAGTTAACGTAGTGTGATTGCGTAAAGCTACGTCACACGTAGCTCACTATTGGCCGACGCTGGTCATGTGTGTGATGCGTGTGACGTACAATAACAGAAGCTTACGCTATTACACTAGTAACCTGACTCCAGGCGAGAGAGAAGTAAATGAATAGTTGAAATAAAGTCGTTATTTTTGTTGTTTTTTTGCGCACAAATAGTGTTCTCGTCGTTTGATAAAGTTAAGATTGAGCCACTGAAGTCACTTGGACTATTTTAACGATGTCTTTAATAACTTTTCGAGGCCGGCAAGTTTCAATTGCTCAAGAAGCCTATGGACTAGTATGGAGGAGAGATCCAGCTCTCATATTTCATCAAAAATATCTTAATTCGTGTTCTGAAGATGAACGAAGGTCTTACGGGGTTGGAACAACATGAGGGTGAGTAAATAAATACTGACAGAATTTTCATTTTTGGGTGAACTAACTCTTTAAAACTGATGGGTAAAATTTACACTTTAAATTCTTCTACTGAACAGTTGTTTTTGGTCTATGTTTCTATTTACTGTTCATCTTTAGCCATCTTCTCCCCATCTTTCTGTTCCCATATTACCCAACAAGATCTCCAAGGTAAACTCCATCCACCATCAACAAAGCTCTTACACACACACACCATCAACAAAGCCCTTACTTACACACACCTCATCAACGAACCTCTGCTATCTCTGCTGCTTGACAAGACCTTAATGGAAAAATCACACTAAGCAAATGGTTCCTCTAATAACAATAAATTTCCTGTAAAATTATGAAGGGTACAGGACGTTTCCCTGGATCCATTTTGTCATGAATTCTAATTAAGGCCGGGGCGTACTGACGGGAGAGGAAACAGGGAATGCTGGGTCATCAGCGAGCGAGGAGAGATAGAGAGAGATGCTGGAACGCCGTCGCTGTGATTGATGCCATGCTTGCCGGTCACACTGAAGACACACATGCGTACTCATATTTCTTGAGCAGGAACACAAATCGCAGTGAGCTTCCTGTACACACTTACACAGTGGAAGCTCATAGAGATGTCCATTACTGTAAGTCACAATAAACTTTTACCAGTGCATATTCGGGGAAGCTCTACAGGTGAAATACAGCTCTGCACTAAAAGCCTAAGAGGATAAAAAACATGACAATGTGAGCTGAAACCCCACATCACGAGCAGACGTAATTCAGACCTGGACGTGCTTTATGATAATGCGTCGCTGAGACTTTGTCTAAGGCCCTAGTGGGGATATTGTAGCGTTTCAGATAGAGAGAAGAATAGAGATAGGGAGGTGAGAAAGGAAGAATGTGGTGTTGTTGCACCATCTGCTGGTTAAGAGCTGTATATGAAAGTTAATGTAAAAATCAATGCATTGGGTTTTATTAGTTTCATTCAATTCATCCCATTCGTTTAACACCACTTACGATATACATTGTGCCGCTTAACTCAAACATACGTCACAATAGAGAACAATCGCAACTTCCGTTTCACGCCGACTTAAATGAGAATGGATAGACTTCAGCTAAAACAGATCTGCTTCATTATTCAACACAATTACAATATACACTGTGATTAATGATGTTCATCACTGTGAGAATTAAATCATAACCCCATACAGTCATCCCACACTACTACATATTTATTCCTCTCTCTTTCGGGAGGGTAGCATGTTAAGTAAAGGCTTAATAAAACTCCTCAAAGGAGGAACAAAAATAGAAATATTTTGAATTTTTAAGTTAGCCATTTTTAGTCATTATTCAATAAGTAATGAATCCATTTTAAATAAATAATAAATAACGTTTAACCTAGTGCAATATATGCTGAAGAAGAAAAACTATTCATAAAATAAACTGACCATTTAATTCTATTAAATCTCAATTATATGTAAAATTAATGAGCTATTATTAACTATGAAGATTATAGTCATAGCTCAAGAATAGAAAAACTGGTTGTGTGTGTGTGTGTGTGTCGAGATATTTTACCGTGCTTTTGTCTTTCAGGAGTTTCTCAATCACTTCGATGAGATGATCCTTCTGATCAGGGTCCAGACTGGAAACAAAAAAGCAGAGACCTCTGTAAAACACCCTCATTCATTAGCATTCAGTGAGGACATCTGTAGATTACCTGTAGAGTTTCTGAATGGCGTGAGCGGCGGTTTTCCGGACGTAAGGTGAAAGATCGGTGGATGATTCTTTGATGGCCAGCATCATGATGGGGACGATGATGGGAACTCTGATACTAGACAGGACCCTGAGAGCGCTCGCTCTGATAAGCTGATTTGGATCCTACACACACACACACACACACACACACAAATGATGAAAATGTGTTAAATTAGTGCTGATCTAAAATACAGGCAAAATTTCCATTCTATGCAAAAATGGGCGGAACATAATGGGAGGAGACTACAGCTACACCACATAGGGGTAAAACAATCAAACATTTTGTTATTGTACATCAATATGGCTATAAAATAATAATAATAATCATAACTATTGTCATGTTTATTACTAAAAAAATATAAAAATGACTAAAACACTAAATATTGCTATTGAAATATTTCACCAAAATAAAAAAGATGATCTTACAATACTTTTAATTTGTTAACATTAATGTATTAACTAATAGGAACTAACCATGAGCAGTTCATCAGTTTGTTGCTGTATGTATTGATCTATGTTAATGTTAGTTCATGAAAAGGCTAGTGTAACTAATAAAACCTTATTATAAAGTTTTCCAATTTGATTTAAAAGAACTGTAAAATGACTATACTAACATATAATGCATTTTCAAATGCTAAACCACTGAAGATGAAAGGGGCGGGGCTTACCTTGAGGGCCCGCTGGAAGGTGCTGATTGACAGGAGGGCGAGATCCTGCTGTTCCTCTGCATACCGGACGAGGTACACGTACACCAGCTTCTTCAGCTAAAGCATACATGCACAAAATATTAAAAACAAATCAAATACAAAATATAAAAACAACCCAGTTTTTGTGGGTTCGCTTGCTTTTGTTTGTTTTATAGATTCCTACTAAAACACTTCAGGAAAGAAACACAAAACTTTAAGAAGCAGTCAGATAATCAAGCATCATCCAATCCCAAACTCATTTTTCATCTCAACTAGGAGTCTATCATGAAACAGTCTGATCTGCTTGTGCTCAAAGGTGAAGGGTCAAAGGTCGGCCCTCCGTTTAATTGCGTCCAGCTCTCGAGGTGACGAGAGGTCATTAGCGATCAGGGAGTCACGGCAACGCATTCCATCATCATCACCACAGCGATTACCAGCCAAATGGAAAAACATCACTCACTTCATAAAGAGAGACATTACCCATCTGCCCCTCTGGTTAATCACATTTACATACAGCGGCCTGCTGATCAGGGATTGGAGCATCCGTGCGCATGTTAATTAGACAGTGGCTAAATGAACCGCTGGCATTTATGAAACAGAATTACATGAGGAACAGAGGGCTTGTTTTTTCACGCAAGATTGTTGTTCATAGGTCGTTTGAAATAGGGACACAAGGAGCACAAAGAAAAAAAGCTATTCTAATGTGTTTACCAAATCTTTAATAAATACTAAGAAAACTGTGAATTAAAGCGAGGGTTTTCAAATGGAGGAATGTGCCAGGGGATCCACCGGAGATGCTCAGAGAAAAAAGAAAAAGGCAATTAAAATAAGTAATAAAGTAAATTAAAAAAATAATAAATTTAATTAAAAGTAATAAAGTAACAGTGATAAAGCTAAATAAAATTAGCAATACAATAAAACAATAAATACAAATAATAATAAAGTAAGTAAAAACTAAAAAAAAAAATAAAGACGTATCATTCAAATTCAAAATTAAATAAAGATAGTATTAAGTAATCATTCTAATTAACAGATAATACATAAAGAGACCTCAACCTCACAGCAAGCAATATATAGCAATATTTTCCCAATTATATTTTAAACATATTTATAGTATTATTATCATCGTTTACCTTTATAGACCTTTATACTTTAAGAAAATATTGCCAGTATCATGTTTAGGAAGGGGAGCCCCATGTAAGTGTATCCTCATATTTTTTTTTGCGGTTATGGCATCAAAAAGTTTAAAACATTATGGTGTAATTGAACAATTTCTTTAGAGAAATATGTTATGCCATTACATAATTAAACCCCCCAATAATATATCAATAATGAACATTTTACTGAAATTAATTTAATTTTTACTCCTATAGTATATTTTGTTCAGCTTGTCTCAGTTAGCAAATTTAACTAAAGCGGGGTGGAGCTTATTGAAGGGTCGTGTGTGTGTGTGTGTGGATCAATGGCAGAGACCCCGTGTCTCTGAGCTCCAGAGGGCGGCAGCATTCGGCACACAGCTGCCCAGTGTGGAGCGTCAGACGAGAGGGAGACAGAGAGAACGTGACTGGGCCCCTAGACCACCAATTACACACCGGCCCCTCAAAACACAATCCGTCCTCTTCAGCCTGGACGTTTTTCCCAACCACATCTCATCTCCTGTCCAAACAGTCTTCTTTCCATCTAAACATCCATTCTTCATCAACAAGGGCCTCCCTGTCAGATGCCTGATCAAAAATAGCCCCCTGACCACAGAGGTCCTCACAACTGTTGAACGATTCTTTCACTCTCAAATCAAACCAGAGCACACAAGGAAAAATGATTCAACACATTTTGCCTGTTGTGTGAGGATATGTATGCAAGTGTTTTATATATTTTCTTACCTCAATGTTTTTACTTGCGACGTTCTTCACCACAGCTGGAAAAAGTTCAGATGCATTCTTACCCTTGGCAATCAACTGATAAGAGAGATTAAAATGAAGAATGAAGCTTCACACTAGTCATTTTTTATATGATCTTAATACAAGCCCTCGGTCTCCTACAAGGACGTACCCCGACTATCCTCTTCATAGCCTCCAGTTTCAGAGACTCTTTGTTGTTTTCCAGCATCTCCTTCAGATCATCATTTCTGCAGAGAAACAGATGATTCAGTGTTACAGTAACTCACATGTAAACACCTATGATGAACCATTTGAGTCACTGACATTCGACATTACAATGATATAGTTGTACTGATGAAATGAGAGTAGAGCTGTCAATTCATTTCAACTGAATGAATATATTCTTAGTTAACATTCAGTTCTTTTATTTAGTAAAAAATAAAAGATATCTGTATAACCACTATAATATCTATTATAAATAATTTACAATGACATTGTTTTTGTTTGAAAACAGTAGAACTACTGGAAAAACAAGTTCTAAATACAAAACAAAATCCTCAATTATATATACACTCACCTAAAGGATTATTAGGAACACCATACTAATACTGTGTTTGACCCCCTTTCGCCTTCAGAACTGCCTTAACTCTACGTGGCATTGATTCAACAAGGTGCTGAAAGCATTCTTAAGAGATGTTGGCCCATATTGATAGGATAGCATCTTGCAGTTGATGGAGATTTGTGGGATGCACATCCAGGTCACAAAGCTCATTTTAGTACAGTGAACTCATTGTCATGTTCAAGAAACCAATTTGAAAATATTCGAGCTAGGGGTGCTCCGATCAGGATTTTTGGGGCCGATCTCCGATTACTGTCTCACCCGATACCGATAACCGATTACAGGGTCTATTTGAAGCCTTCTATTTATCATGTAGCATTATTTATTAAACTATATTTAACAACAATGTACATTAAGTATTACATTTAAGAGAAGACCAAATGTATCATGAATTGACACCTGTGTATTTATTTTCAAGCAACATGTCCAGCATATTAACTTAGCAGCTTGTGCTTGGTTATTGGGATCAGCTTAGGGCTTGACAAATACAACTTTCCTGTCAAAATTTATATAAAAGACAGAACATCTGAGTCTTTAGACTACATTATACTAAAAGCTGCACCAAAAACAGCTATAGCCAAAATACAGTAATTTTTTTGAGTCAGTCAGCCATCAGTTTTTCTAATACACTTAAAGGACCACAGGTAGTAAAGTGCACAGCAACAAAAAATACAAAAAACTAACAACTTCCATATCTGTATACTGTGTATATCTATAACTTTGCTTTTTTCTGGGATGCTTAGTTAGATTTTGTGGGCATTTAGAGAGGAAGAGAGAGACAGAGAAAGAGAGAGTGGGGATAGAAATTATTAGATTCATTTCTCTACCAAAAGCTTACTACTTAAGTGTCAAAATTTTGATTAAAAAAAATTACAATAAGTAAAAATAATGCTAAATTATTTCAAATAAATTTTTAGATTAAGAAAGCCACCACTGCTTGTCACATGGTTAGATTGATTTGTTTAGAGCTAGTGAAGTCACGTCCTACCACTTTAAGGATCGATATTGTCCCCCACCAATTTTTGTAACATTGAGGCACGGATGTACCTAATACAAATAAATAAAACATCTCCAGTTAACTAGCAGAGTATTCAAAATCAAATCGAAATCTAGCGATAAAATGTGTTTGTTTTTGAACTCGCTCGTTGCTGCGGCGATCAGTGTCATGGATACAGTGCTCTCTACTAGCTCGCAGTCTTCACTCGGACACGCACTTCAATCTATCGCCATTCCGGACGGACTCTATTCATTCCGATGAATTTACGGGTTGAACAGAGAAGCTGCACAGTTTAACAAGCAGACAGCGACATGATGGTACATAGATTGCAGATTGATTGCAAATGAATTGTTTTTTTCACACACCTTGTAGAATTGCCAGACCGGTGAAGCCATTTTTACCAGGGCATTCATAAATATTGTCGGCCGTGGCATTTAAACGATGCACAATTGGCACTAAGGGGCATAAAGTGTGCCAAGAAAACATCCCCCACACCATTACACCACCACCACCAGCCTGAACAGTGGTAACAAGGCATGATGGATCCATGTTCTCATTCTGTTTACGCCAAATTCTGACTCTACCATCTGAATGTCTCAACAGAGATCGAGACTCTTCAGACCAGGCAACATTTTTCCAGTCTTCAACTGTCCAATTTTGGCGAGCTCTTGCAAATTGTTGCCTCTTTTTCCTATTTATAGTGGAGAGATGAGTGGTACCCGGTGGGGTCTTCTGCTGGTGTAGCCCATCCGCCTCAAGGTTGTGCGTGTTGTGGCTTCACAAATGCTTTGCTGCATACCTCGGTTGTAACGAGTGGTTATTTCAGTCAATGTTGCTCTTCTATTAGCTTGAATCAGTCGGCCCACTCTCCTCTGACCTCTAGCAAAATGACCACAAGTCATTTTCGCCCATAGGACTGCCACATACTGGATGTTTTTTTCCTTTTTCCTTTTTTACTCCATTCTTGGTAAACCCTAGAAATGGTTGTGCGTGAAAATCCCAGTAACTGAGCAGATTGTGAAATACTCAGACCAGCCCGTCTGGCTCCAACAACCATGCTACGCTCAAAATTGCTTAAATCATTAAATCTTACATCTTTCCCATTCTGAGATTCAGTTTGGTGTTCAGGAGATTGTTTTGACCAGGACCACACCCCTAAATGCATTGAAGCAACTGCCATGTGATTGGTTGATTAGATAATTGCATTAATGTGAAATTGAACAGGTGTTCCTAATAATACTAAGTGTAAGTGTACATATAGTTAGTATGAGTATATATATATATATATATATATACACACACATTAAATACAGTATATATATACACTAACTAACTATACAATAATATATACAGTACTAGCACAGGGCCATATGATTTGAAAATTAACCATTAACCAAAACAATCATCTCAAGCAGACGGTTGACAGTCAGACATATTAAATTAGCCTGTACGAATGCTAGTCATTCCTCTGTCTGCACAACTCTGTCATTTACATAGATACCATGTAAGAGAAAAATTCTTCAGACAATTAAAGACATTTGCAATCATATCATAAAATGACTTAAAAGCAAAAAGAACTGGATTATAAAGAGGTTCATACCGTCATGTGAGTGTTTGAATGAATGAATGAATAAATGAGTTGACAACAATCTAATAGACAGATAAAGAAGCAAAGGAGGAAAGCACTGAAAACCACTAGATCTGTGCCTATTTTTTCCACCTCAGAAACAAATTCCTTGTTTCAAAGTAATTTAATCTTGCTGGGCATGAAAATCCTGACTTTTATTTCCAGAAAACAGGTTTTCTTGAGCATTTCTCATACCCTCTGCTTGGTTTCTCCCCATTACCACTGCTGTGGCTGTTAGTCAGAGCCTGTTCCTCCGAGTTGAGGTCTGCTTTTAGTGAGAGTTGAAGGTTTTCGGCAGAGACGAGAGCAGTCCGCAACGCTCCAGCGGCCTCCAAGCGCAAGCTGCCCAATCCTCCGTTCATCTTACACATGTACAGAATAACTAAAACCACAAACCACAGCGGTAGAGAAGGTCAAAATGATAAAAAAGCCATTCATCTGTCCATCACCAGAGGTTTCTCAGACCTCTCTCATCCTTGTAAATCCATGAAGAAACCATCCAAACAGGATTACAAGATCAACCATTTCTTCAAATAGACCCAGAAGACCAGATCTCAGAAACAAAAGCCAAGAGAAAGTTTGACAGGGGATGAAAGACGATGTTTACTGGGTCCTTTCTCTCCACCAATGCCGTCAAGAGGACCAGAGAGGGACAAGATAGCACTATCCTCCAGTCTGACTCAATCATCTGGTCACGTGCAGCAGTCGCACAACCATCCAGTGTGACCATCACACATTAATTAAATCCATGAGCGCTGAGAGACCAGCAAGGTTACAATGATTCACTCTTATCATAGACTGAAGCCTGAATTCCAATCCCAGTTCTCCTGATATATGTTCAGTTGCGTCTTGCAAAGATGCTTCTTGCTTTTGGTTTTCCATTAGAGCATGATAAAGCCTCAGGTCTCAGTTAGGTTGAGAGAAGCTCAATCTCAGCCGATTCAAAGCTTGCAAGTTGCATCCTTTTGAGTCCCCGATGTGGCTAGCCAAACTAGGAAGAGGGGAAAAGGGGAAAAAAGTCCAGCAAGCTCAAAACAACAAGGCTGGAAGGTGCTCCTGATGTCTGAAACTATCAGGAATGCTCAACCAAAGATGCTCAACTAGATCCAGAGCTTGCAAGTTGGGTCCCTTTGAGTGCCAGTTGTGAATAGTAGCCAAACTGAGAAGTAGGTAAAACGCAAAGGAAGTCCAGCTGTGGTATTTCTTTGCGGCAGCGGTCGCCTCCCTTCAGAGGAAGCATAGAGGCTCTTATCTTCAACCCAAGACTTTCATCACCTCTGCAGAACCGCGTTCTTTGCCTGTGTTCTTCATTCACGGCAGGTCTGCTTATTCTGATAACGTGAAACAAACTTCCTCTGCTAACCAAGGCAACAAAATATAACAAGTCTGAAACAAAAGTCAAACCCAAATAGTGAACTGGAGGCAGGAACGGGAAGAATACTTTATGCATATGGACAGGCAAATGTGTTTTAGGCCTTGAAGACCATATTGACCTGGTTGAAAACACTGCATTGAATCTGTTGGATTAAAAAGTATTAGGGATGTTAACCGATGACCGTTTGACCGATGGTTGACCGTATCAACATTAACCGAATGTTAACCGGACACGACCGAAAGTTGACGGTAGTCGGTAAAAAAAAAAAACATTTGGCACGAAGTCACAGCATTTGGGTTCGCGCGCTCACAACAAGATTTGCAAATGGTCAAAAAAATGGACATGCAATGGACACGTGCCAGCCAAGCAAGGCGCCAGCCAGCTCGTCAGGAGCAGCTGGGGTTAGGTGTCTTGCTCATGGACACCTCGACACTTGGTCAGGTGGAACCGAGGATTGAACCACCAACCTTTTCGGTTTGTAGACAACCCATATGAACCACTGAGCCACTGCCGCCCCAAATACAAGAATACACGAAAAGTAAAGGCTTCAGGCTAAAACACTAGAGGTTAGAGCCAGGGCAGATGACAGGATGAAGCGTGCAAAGAAAATAGTGTGTGTGGGACCATTTCACCTAAAAGGATGACACAGATGTAAGTTGCTGGACTTAGATTTGGAAATAGATTACATCTACATTTCAGTGGTAACAGATAAGGTGATGATGATCATCATCTTCAGGGCTCCAGACTGCGACCAAATAGTCGCATTTTGCAACCAAAAATTGAGAGTGTGCGACTGAATTTTACATCCAGTCGCACATGTGCGACCAGTAAATTTGCCACACGTTAAACGCATGGCAAAGCGTGGAAGAGGCGCGTCAATGAATCCGTGACAAGAATAGCGCGCATAAACGTTTGTGGGAAGGAGACGGAAACAAATATCACAAACTGATGTGCGTCTGAGCAATCAGCGATCTATCGACTCTTTAGTCGTTACCTAGCAACGAATGCAAACAAAATGAAAGTGGAACGAAAATACGCCACTCATGTATGATTAGGACCGTGGAGCTGCGGCAGCGATCCGAACCTCTGACAGTAAAATAAAGCCCTGAACTTGCCAGTCGCGGGCCGATCTCGCTCACGCAACACTGTTACTAGAAGAGCCAGTGAAGAAATCCAGTGAATTCGCCTCAGAATTAATAACATCAACACCACGAGATCCAGTGAGAAACACTCCGATTCGGCGCAGAGCTCTGTTATAAACCATATCAAATCAAACAGCGCTGACGTGGAAACCAGGAAAAACACAGAAGGCTTTCAGACCACAAATCAGCCTAACAGAACCATGAATTTAGGCAAGGTAACTCTTACCATAAATATGATAATGTGTAAGTAGCCTACTACACATCCTTTCCCAGCACTTCAATAATATCATATATAAATGTTTTATTTTTTTGTATTTTTTATGTGATTACCATACCAACACATTTTTTGTTCATCCTTTAAAGATTGTCCTTAAACGAAAAATTTTAAGATGTTGGAAAACTCTTATTTAAACACTTAAAATAATAATAATAATACCATTGTAAACAGTAGGATGTTTATTGGCTATTTTCACTCCATATACATATTTTCACTACTTTTATTAATTAATATTAAGACATTATAAATGATAAAAACTAAAGTTAATTTCATCTACACCCTAAATTAAGCTTAGTGATTTATTGTTAGCCCCAGTGCTACCAGATTTATTTTTATTTTTTTTATAGAACTGCGAGTTCTCATTTGAGGTGATGCTGCCCTCAACTTTGGGTCTGGAGCCCTGTGAAGTTAAAATAAAACAGCATATCATAATGTTAAGTCTATTTATTATTAAAGAATTTGTCAGTATTACAGTTATTTTGTGGGAAATTTGAATAATTGCATTGCGAGCTTATTTAAGGTGTGCCCCTAAATTTTTTGCTTGCGCTCCTAAAATTTTCAGTCAGGGGCAACAGCGCTCCTAGTAAAAAAAGTTAGTCTGGAGCCCTGATCTTTCTTTATTATTGTTAGCACTAACGTTAAATGAGCCACGGCAATGTTTCAAATGAGCTTCTAACGCTGGACTAACGCCTTTATTTCCAACGCGATCACCTTGTACCCAAACCATTTCGAAACTAAAAAAGGAGCCATTTGTCCTCCGATTACATACAAGCTCCTTGGCGCCGCGTCTGCGGGACTCATGTTTTGCGCCGTATGGGGATTTTAAAAAAGTGACATGAGTGGAAGGGCGGCACCGGGGCAGTGTGTGTGTGTGTGTGTGTGTGTGTGTGAGGGGAGGCAGAGTGGCAGAGAAATGCGACAGAGTTGTGAAATTGCAGGTGCGGCTCAAAATGGCTGTTATTTAAAATAGCGTAGCATATTTTAAACCAAACGGTTAACCGGTTTGAACCGGCTAATGAGGCTCGGTTGACGGTCAAGAAAATGTGTATTTTTCGCCATCCCTAAAAAGTATCCACTTTAACACAAGCAGTAATTTAGTAAAAAAAAAAAAACTATTTACCCTTGTGTCGTTGCAAACCTGTACGCCATTTACACTGGTGATAGAAAAAGCAGGCTTTAAGCTGCAAATTTAAGCCATTATTTACTCATCATCTTCCCCTCCAAGTGAGCTGTTAATTCAGAACTGGTGCAAATGACTCAATGAATCTATGAGTTTAAACAGAAAACAGAAGCAGTGAACAAATCATTATATATTTTGAGCTAAATGTAAGGGATTTGAGCTAGTTCAGAAAATGGATTTAATGATTTGTTAATGAACTGATGTGATTTGTTCACAAACTTGAGTTCATCTCACTGACTCACTGAACATGTTTGTGAATAAGAGTGGTCCGTATGATATTTTGCGTCTTCTAAAGTCATATGAAAGCTTTGTTAGAGGAACAGAACAACATTTTCCGTTGTCCGCGTTGACGCGCAATTACACATGCCGAGAGAAAAATCCGGGGAGCGGTGCTTGCAGACCAATCACAGCACTTGCGGTACGTGTGAAATTGCCGCGTTTTTTTGGAGAGGTGCACATCAGGGTACACCAAAGGGTACACTCACTAATGGCAGGATAAGCTTAGCCTGGAAAACCTCTCCGAAGCACCACCGATCATGATTTTTCATGGCTGATGATTCTAAAAAACAAATTGGCCTATTCTGGTTGCTATTTTTATTTTTCTTTGTTCCATTACAATTTATTTGTTGTTTATTTGCAAATACACAGGAATGATTATCGGCCTGTTCAGGGTTCACATTGGCCCTATAGAGTGCCGAAGTGATGACGTCACTTTGTAGGACAACTCGGAAGCTAGCGGCGCATGGGTTCCCTCGATAAAAAAGCAATGCATTTTCCCCATAGACTTTTGGAAAAAATCGCAAAAAATAAGATCTGTGTTTAACAAAGAGTTGTGAGTCGTGACCCTTACACGTTTTGTCTATCAAGATAATCTTTGTTTGTCAAGATTATCAAGATAATCTTACAAGTTAATACAAAATTTATACATTTTGAAGCCTATATAAAGTTTTAAAAAAAACACAAGCAGGTTATAACTGGTGTGTTTTATGTCACAGATCAAAACGTGAAAATTTTTAGAGGCTTTGTTCACCACAGACCTTATTTCAGGCGATTCAGCAAAACCCATTCAAAAAACCCATAGACCTTAGGGGTCGAGGGAACCAGAAGTGCTAAAAAGTGCTAACTCACTTCCACGTTTTGGCCAACAAAGTGACGTCATAACTTAGGCACTTTATTTTGACATCAGAACGATACCGATGTGTAAAAAATTGACCATATCGGTGGCTAATATATAGTGCACCACTATCACAATTTAAATCTAATATAGGCCTATCTAATGTTTTGTAACAGAGAAGTCGGTCATAGAGGTTTGTTATTTGGCACAACATAAAAAGGTGAGTAAATTGACACTATTTATTAAATTTTTGGTGTACTGTGCCTTTAAGTGCGTGTTCTCAGTGTGTTGTCCCTGTGTCTCATTCTCAAGGCTTCTCTCTCTGTCCTCATGACTTCAGTCTCCTGCTTGCAGTCATGTGAGAGAGCCAATTCAGTTAGGCCTAAATAACATTAAGAATCCTTCCGTTATTACCCTCAACATACCAATAACACACACACACAAATCATCTAAAACATCAGCTATGGCAGAAAACCATGCTCTTGAACTCAAGAAGCAGATTTTAGAAAGCAAACAATACCACACACAAACAATGACCTTCTTAAGAACAGAAAGAAATCCATACAATGAAGTTAGAGTGAATAAATAAAGACTAACCAGCAGTGAAGTCTATTTGCGGCATAATAAATTACCCAATTCTCATACATCCGACTCCCATCATACAGGCTCATTAATGCAGTAAACAGTATCAGACTTCCTGTCTAAGGAGGCAAATTTGTCATTCGGTGCCATAATTACTTGGAACAGAGCTAAATGGAGTTAAGATCCCATGGGTAGAAAACATAAGGGTGTACGTCAGCCCTGTCTATGGCCTTCACAAGGAGGCTGGAGAAGACAAACACTGAGATAATCTGGACAAATAGCAAAAACAATACAGTATGTAAATCAATCCATGGCACCTTATGAAACACCTCAGTAAAAAGTAAAAACAATAATGTTATGACCCAGGCCTAGTTTCACTAACTTGATGTGATAGCCTACCCTCACCAGAGGACCAATAGTACTCTAATATTACAGTTATACTGCCCCCTGCTGGAGGAGGACTGCAACAACCAACTGTATACATTTGCAAGACAAAACACAAGACTTAAAGGTTATGCTGACTATTTATGCTATTTTTATTGAGACTATTATATATTTTCAGATGTAAAATCGTTTGTGACTGACGACACAACAGCCTACTGAACCAAGAAGGCAAATTACAGATCTGTCAAACAGTGATGATAACTCTGAGAGACTAGCTCCATGCAAATATTCCAGAGGCAGTTGATCTTATCAAATAATAATGTTTATCTGAGGAAACTGAAAACCACAATAAGTAAAGAGTTAAATCAACGTTTACTAGTATGTTTACTTACTAGTAATTTACGCAGCATAAAAACATCAGTTTCAGTAACGTTAGTGTGAACGACCATGACGTAGACTGCTTCGTGCACATCTGGATGTGTGTGTGTCTGTGTGTGTGTTGTGTGAACTCTTACTTCTTGCAGTCAGCGCTGAAGAGGCTGAACGCGGCCCCTCCACTGCCGCTGCTGATGTTGCTGTTCTCCTGCGCCGCGTCCACGCCGGACTCCACCGAGCCCTGATCGTTATACGACACACTGTTGGCGGACATCCCGAGCATTTACTCCGACTTACAGCGCTCACTACAGCAGCACAAACTTACGTATCCTCCGAAAAAGGCAGCTGTGTTTAAACAATATCGCGCTGCTATTTTTCACTGAATGAATCGCAAGAAAAAAAACTTTTTGACTCCTGACGTACAACTTTTCCTCTCTTCCACGCAGAGTCGGAAGTGAGCTGGAGTCACATGACCGTCACATGACGAAGACCAAACAGGCAAACACCAGACTGTAAAGAGGCAAACACACACATATATCACTCTTCTCTCCACCTTTCCTTTACATTGTGTACAACGTATGTCTATGATTTTATTATTATTATTATTATAATGTAAAATTGATTGTGTGTGGCATATAAAAGGGAGGGAAATAGGAAAAAATAGACTCGAGGCATTTTTATTTATTTATTTTTTTAAATTTAATTTATTGTAAATAATATGTAGCACAATATATATATATATATATATATATGTGTGTGTGTGTGTGTGTGTGTGTGTGTGTGTGTGTGTGTGTGTGTGTGTGTGTGTGTGTGTGTGTGTGTGTGTGTGTGTGTGTGTTGTTGTTGTTGTTGTTGTTAATATCTGTTGTGAGTTGTAAAGTAAACATGTAGTAAGTGTATGTACTTTTGAATATGATCAGTAATAAAAAATAAAATAAAATTTTTCTCACTTTAAAATGATTTCAATATTGTACTGCATTGCATAATTGCACAAGTAAAAAGTAATCTGCTAATAATGATGTTCTTGTATATATATATATATATATATATATATATATATATATATATATATATATATATCGTAGAACAGGAGAGAGAATGTTTTATTAATGCATGAATAGTTATTTTCCTTTGTATAAATTTATTTTTTCATCGCATTTGTATATGTTATCCACAAGTTAATTATCTTCAAACTTTCAAAGTAAAATAGACTCTTTCTGTTTTTAGATTTTCCTTTTTTATTATTAATAATCTAACTTCATGGTCCTAATTAATTATTAAACATAGTCCCTTAACGTTCTCTTTCACTCTTTACATTTTGTATATTTGTCTTCATGAATTATTTAACAGAACATTTAACTTTCTTACATAATATTTTGTCACCCCTTACACACATACAGTAAAGTGGGATGGTAGTGGTATGGTATAATGATGTATTAGAGATGGTAATACCGTGGTACTTTGATGTAGCCTACTGCATTGCTTAGCAACGGGAAGAAACTCCTGTAACTTCAGTGCCCAACCCATATCACCACAAGACGTGAAATAATCACGTTGGTCCACTTTGGAAAACGTGTGGATGATACGGTTTAGTTTAAACTCAAAACCATAAATAGGGCTATACTGCCCTCTTGTGTCAAATTATATTTCTATATTTATTTTTCAAACAAATAAAACGTCTCTGGTTACTTACGTAACCTATGTTCTCTGAATAGGGAACGAGACGCTGCGGATAGCGCAGTGGGATATTCTCTGAATATGCCGATTGTCTGAAGCCCAATAGAATCACGCCAATCCATTGGCTGATGGCGCTCGCGCAATCTGGCCCCGCCCCGACGCAATTACGTCGCATAATCATATACGCGCGTGCGCCATCTTCCCCTCAGATTTCTCTGCCGAAAAGAAGACTGTCAGCAGCGCGAGGAGCTTGGCCGCTAACGCAGCGTCTCGTTCCCTATTCAGAGAACATAGGTTACGTAAGTAACCAGAGACGTTCTCTTTCATAGGTTCACTCAACGCTGCGGATAGCGCAGTGGGAACGGGATACCAAACTCGCCAAGCAAAGAGCGCTGCAATGACTGGTATCAAAAGATAAAGACTACAAACGGTTCAAACAGAAAGAATCTGGGAACCCGGGGTCATGTCAAGATCCAAATTGTAGAAACGTACAAAAGTGTGCGGAGAGGACCATCTGGCCGCAACACAAATGTCCTCTAATAGAGCTCCCCTGAAAAGAGCTTGAGAGGATGCCACACTCCTGGTGGAATGCGCTCTAATGCCAAGAGGCGAAGGCAAACCACGCGCCTGGTAGGCAATCGATATCGCCTCTGTGACCCAATGAGAAATCCTCTGTTTCGATGCAGCAAGCCCACGGCGGCCAGCACCAAAACAAACCAGAAGCTGGTTAGATTTCCTCCAACAGCTGGAGCGGTCTACATAAAACTTCAAAGACCGAACCGGGCAGAGCAGATTAAGCTTCCTATCCTCCTCAGAGGAAAAAGGCGGAGGGTGGAAAGCGTTAAGGCTAACAACCTGAGAGCGGAACGCTGTGGAGAGAACCTTAGGAACATAGCCTGGCCTAGGTCTCAAGGAAACTTTGACTAACCCGGGAGCAAAGTCTAAGCATGACTCACTAACCGAAAGAGCCTGCAAGTCCCCTACCCGCTTTAAAGAAGACAAAGCCAACAAAAGTGACACCTTAAGAGTCAGAATCCGATCTGGAGCTGACTCTAAGGGTTCAAAGGGGGCCTCCTTTAAACCCTCCAAGACGACAGAAAGATCCCAAGAGGGAACTCTAGGGGAGCGAACTGGTTTCAGGCGCCTAACCCCACGCATGAAGGCCGAAACTAACCTCAATTTGCCCAAAGGAATCTCGTCTGACTCTCTATGTGCCGCAATGGCTGCAACATAGACCCTGAGGGTGGTAGCCGCCACCCCGGAGGAAAATCTCTCTTGCAGGAACTCCAACACTGAAGCGACGGGGCAGTTAACTGGGTTCCTATCACGTGCCAAGCACCAAGACGCGAAAACCTTCCATTTGGAAGAATACAGTCTCCTTGTAGAAAGAGCTCTAGCACTAGCGATGGTCTCCTGAACGTCAGTCGGGAGATCCAAGCCTAAAGTCGACGACCCTTGATCGGCCAAACGTACAGCTTCCACATGTCCGGGCGAGGATGCCAAATCCTGCCCTGAAGTTGGGAAAGCAGATCCTCTCTGATTGGAATCTTCCAGGGAGGCGATTCCAGCAGAGGAATTAACTCCAAAAACCATGGCTGAGACGGCCAGAATGGGGCTACTAGAAGGAGGCGGACTCCGCTCTCCCTCACTCTGGCCAGGACCGCCTGGATCAGTTTGATGGGCGGGAAGGCGTAGAGTTTCTGCATTGGCCAAGGGTGGGCGAATGCATCTATCCCCAACGGAGCTGGAGGATTCAGGGAGAACCAGAGCGGGCATTGGGATGACTCCTGCGAGGCAAAGAGGTCCACCTCCGCTTTTCCGAACACCTCCCAGATCAGGGAAACTGTCTGACGGTTCAACATCCAATCCCCCGACTGGAGTTTCTGCCTCGATAGAAAATCCGCTGCGAGGTTCAGAACCCCTGGGACATGGACCGCTCTCAGAGAAAGAAACCTGCTCTGAGACCATAATAGAAGATGACGCGCATGCCTGTCCAGGGTGCGAGATCGAGAACCTCCTTGCCGGTTTACATGGGAAACTACCGCCATGTTGTCCGTCCTGACAATGACATGGTGACCCTTTAGAAAAGGGAGGAAATGACGCAAAGCCAGGAAGACGGCTCTCAGTTCTAAGCAGTTTATGTGCCAAGCGAGGGTCTCGCCCGTCCAGACCCCGCATGCTGGCCTGCCCTCGAAAACTGCTCCCCAACCGGTTAGAGAGGCATCCGTCGTAAGCATCTGGCGACGGAATACCGTACCCATGCTGACCCCTTTCTGAAGAAAGAGATGGTCCCGCCAAATCGACAGGGCGCGAGAGCAACTGCCCGACACCCTCAACAGGCGAAAGGCTGACCCAGTGGGCCGGATGCCTGAGAGCTTCATCCACCACAGGAAGGGTCTCATGTGGAGCAGACCCAGGGGTAGCACAGGGGAGGCTGCGGCCATTAAGCCCAGAAGCCTGCGGCAAGTGCCCACAGAAACATGATGGCCAAGCGAAAAACGGGCCAAACATGTCATCAAACTGCAAATCCGTGCAGGAGCCAAACGGGCCTGCATACGAACGGAATCCATGTGCACACCCAGGAAGACTGTGTGCTGAGCTGGAGTAAGAACACTCTTCTCCACGTTCAACCTCAGGCCGAGAGACTGAATATGGCGGAGAACAGTGTCCCTGTGGTGGGTAACCAACTCCCTGGACTGGGCTAGAATGAGCCAGTCGTCCAGATAATTGAGAATGCGGATGCCCTGGAGCCGCAAGGGGGCCAGTGCTGCATCCACGCATTTCGTGAACGTTCTCGGTGCCAGGGCAAGGCCAAAGGGAAGGACCTTGTACTGGAATGCCCTCCCTCCAAAGGCGAACCTGAGGAACTTTCTGTGACGCCGCACGACCTGGATGTGAAAATAGGCATCCTTGAGGTCTATTGTCACGAACCAATCTCCTGGTCGAATCTGAGAGATGATGGCTTTCAACGTCAACATCTTGAATTTCCCTCTGAAGAGGGCGAAATTTAGTCTGCGGAGGTCTAGAATGGGACGCAAGCCGCCGCCTTTCTTCGGAACCAGGAAATAACGGCTGTAGAAGCCTTGTTCGGTTTCCTCCGCAGGAACCTCCTCTATAGCTCCTTTGAGAAGGAGGGAAGAAATTTCCCGCTGTAGCACAGAAGCCTGAGTGGCGCTGTTGACTACAGTAGGAAAAATCCCGTTGAACCGAGGGGGGTTGCGGCAAAACTGGAGAGTGTAGCCGAACCGAACTGTGCGAAGAATCCACGGCGATACCCCTTGTAACCGCTCCCATTCTGGAAAGAAATGTGAAAGAGGAAGAGGGGTGTTGCAATGCAAATGACATACCTGAGTGAGGGTGTGGTGCTAAAGGCCGTGGAGTTGCAAGGTTGGCGGTGCAGGAGAGCCCTTGGCGTCCTGACACGCGATGAGAGGTGCTAACGCTGAGGTCTGGGTGACCGGGCCTGCCTGCTCCAGAGAAAAAGGAAGAACGTTTCTGAGGACGTGACCGGCAGTCAAAGAGAGTGTCGGGGGAGAGGAGAGAAAACCCAGGGTGTCTCCTTCCTCTCGCACCGGCTGCGTAGAAGCGGTGAAATATGGCTGCTCTTCGAAACACCCAGGGTGGCGAAGGAGACAGGGTAAGAAAAGGAGAGCTGGTTGGAGGTGGACAGAAACGCTTGCGCGGTCTGTCCCAACCTCGTGCCTGTGGAGGAGCTCTCCTTTTCCCGACCAACGGGTCAGGAAGCGGGACGAGGCAGCTGGAGCGGGCGGCTTGT